ACCTTGATGTATCTTTATCTCTGCCCTTTCTGTTCCTTTTTGTGCTATTTTCGCCTAACTTGGACATTTTCATTGGAGGCCGTAAGAGGTGGTCTCTGCTGACGGTGGCTAAATCTGAAGCTGACAGCGTGGCTGGCCCTGAGCAGAATAGAGCTTGTTATCTGTGCTCGCGATTGCGATCGAACATTGGCCAAAAGCGGCTTTGTATCCCGAGCCAGGTCAGATACGGATCTGTAAAGGTAGGGGACAATCATCGCAGAGAGACGAGCGACGCCGGGCGAGCTCTCCGCGGCACCTGGGTATGCTGTAAACAAGCCTGTCGCTGTCGGGAGTTTGGGGGAGGGCCTGTGGGGATGCGGGGGGGACGGGACGCTCGGGCCACAGCTTGCTGCCGTAGGGCAGGGCCCCGGGTTCCGAGTCTAAACTGTGGTTTGCCTGTTCCTGTGTGAAGGTTTTAGTCAACAAACGCCATTCATAAAAAATGAGCCCAAGCCCCACCGAGTCTGTTTTCATGCCCGTGTCGACTCATAACAAGCAAGGAAGAAACCACACCAGCAGTGAGAAGGTGAAGAGGTCAGAGCCTGCGGTTTGCCTAACGAGCATCTCCTGCCGCCGACGGTCCTGTGAGACACTGACACGGTTTTCCCGTTTGAGGAAGGAGGCGCATTCCACAGGAAGTTTACTCTCCCCTCTACCCGCTGACTTCCTGTCCTCTGTGATTCAAGCTAATTGCTGTGGGCCGGGTGGTCTGATAAGACTGCGTGTGGGGGGGAGACCCCGCCACACGCAAACAAACACGCACACGCGAGTGCGGGCAGCACAACTTGGCACGCTATTCCACAGGCACACGGAACTAACGCAGTGCGGCAAGTGCGCCCCGTCTGTCGGAGTTTTATAGGGGGATTAAAAGGTTTACGGGCAGCTCAAAGCAATCAAATCGCTATGTAGAGCATTTTCAGTCCTCTACATAGGAAGAGCCTCACTGGGCAGAGATCATTATAACTGTATGATGCTTTTATGTGAATTGAATATGAACTGCAGGTTATTTTGGATCTGCGCTGTTGTACGAGAGGGATCCATGCAGCGTCTCTGGAGTGCTGCCTTTTTAGGACGTCTCTTCCACTTGCAGCCTGACGGGGGCGTGTTTGTGCAATGGCGAGGCACTTCCCTGCCACCTGCTCCTGCGCTCCTGCTGCACGGCACGCCGGCACCTTTACCTCCCCCCGCCTGGCGAGATGATTGCCACTTTTGCCTGTAATTGCATGTTACAAGACATCCACAGTACAGACTGACACCCTCGTGACGGCAAATGGTGGGAGCTTACCCTCTGCCTTCATTCCACTTGTCAGCTTAGTAGGCAGCAGCTCAGTCATCCTGGAAGATTACATTAATCACTTGATAACGGGGGGGGAACAGTGGGAGAGGAAATAGGAGAGCGTAGCAGCTATATCTGCCTAAAGGCTATGTAAACTGCAACTTCGGTCTGTGCATTATAATTCCTTAAAAAGTTGCACCAGTAAACACTGGCTGCATGCCACCTTTTCACTCTCGTCTCACTTACATTTTTGTCACGGTTGGGTCTGTATTTCTTGATGTCTTATAGAAATAAAACACAGAAATGCAATAGATAGAAATGCAACGAAACCTTCCAAGATTTATACGTGCAATAGCTGTGGCAGGCAAACAATCATCCAGTGGTTAGCGGGATGTGAGTTCCAGTGTGATTCATTTCTGCAGCAGCGTGCATAACTGTGTGGGGTAATGCACACACCACAGAAGTTGTTTACAGGGATTTTAGAAAAGGGTGGGGCCACATGACCTTTTACATGGGGGCTCCTATAAGCCACAGATCATTTTCAGCTATATATACCTGAAGTAGAAGGTGGGAAAATGTGGTAGGGCCCTTGGCGCTTGTACCTTCACAAGGTGATAAGGCAGGCGCTCACATTTCTGCAGCGTAAGACCAAGAAGAGTAGAGCAAAAGTCCTTGGGTAGTTAAGGAGATTAGCTGTTGGGTGGTCAAAGGGAGGAAGACAGCCAGCTTTGGCTGTGAATGGTTACTCTAAACAAGCAGAGCCTGACTCTCCAACACACTAGTACTGGATGAGACACAGGGAGGAAATCTGCGTTCAATTTTCTGCTCAGTTGATTTTTGTGTTTAGCTTGAAGCTGCAGTGTGTGTTCACGGGTTTGGAGCCTGAGAAACCACAAATTGTTCAGAGCTGTTGAACCTCGAGCTGCAATGATACAGGTCTGTTTAAAAAGTGCACTTCCGCGAGAAACCAGGGGGTGGCTCCCTCACACTCAAGGTTTCCTCGGTGTCTTCAGCCAGGAAGGCCTCTCGGACGTCACAGATTGAAAGAAATCCCAAAATATAAAATGACGTTGTGAACGACGACGCTGGAGCCGAAAACCTGCTCGTGCTGAACGATGATATTGGCTTCGGGGCCCAAGGTATTGATTGCTGTAAAGCCGCAGTGATTTTTCAGAGGAATGTCAGGTTTGGGTTGGGTCTGTGGAAATCATTAGCTTCCTGACAAACAGCTGAAGTAATCAGAGCCTGGAGCATGGTGCAGAGGAAGCCCAAGTCAGAAGCGGGTGCTCAGGTATGTGCTGATCGGGACTCTCTAGCTAGAGGATGAGATCCAGATGTGGCTGTGGAGGGAGCTGGAGGGGGCTGCAAGTATGGTGGTGATGGAGGGGGCGGGGGGGGGAGCAATATCTCCCTGACAGCAACATTATAGGCCAAAGCAAACCTTGGGAGAAGGAGTCTGACAGTGCACGGTCGATCTCCGTGGAGAAGATGAAGAACGGTACGAGATCAGCTCCTTGAGAAGGAATCGCAGCCCCTGAGTGTCTGAGAAACTAAAGACCAACAACATCACTTACTGAATTTCCTTTAATCTCCTCATTTCATCTCGACTTTCTGCTATAATTGTATATTTAATGCGGCTGGATTTAACTTCGCATAAAGTAACAGGTACATTAGAGACGTAAAAGCCACCTTACATCATTCTTAGTGACGGCTAATGTGTTGCTGTGTTACAGTGATATTTCTATTTCGCAAGTGTTAATGTGCTATCCATTTAGTAATCAATGAAATGATAGTGACGTAATAATGGCAAAGATGATTCGCATAAAGTCACTTAATTTCTCAGTGTGAAAAAAGTGCATGACTGCAAGTTTGATTCTTACTTTCCCTTTTATCTATAGAGAGTGAGGCGTTATCTCCACAACCCAAAACCCAGACTTTCTACATGGACATGGTGTGTGTGTGTGTGTGTGTGTGTGTGGTCCAGGTGTATCTTATGTTGTGGGGTCCAAATATCCCTTCAACATGATTAAAAACCTGTTACTCTGACATTGTGGGGACCGTTTTTCCAGTCCTCAAAAGGCTAACCTCAATTTTGTAAAAATCGGTGACTGCAATCAAAAAACTAAAAATGCCTAAAGACTTGTGATTGAGAGAGATATTTGATGCACTTTCTTCCTTGTACAGATCCTGGGTCACCTTGATGGTTTGGAAAAGGAGAAGTCTGTATCCGATTAATCCAAAACTTAGCAGAAGATTTTTCAAAAATTATTGCACATAATGGTTTTCTCTGTGAGGGAGTCGGCGACGTGACGTCAGTGCGTTCTCCACTTTCGGGCCTCCGTGTGGAGCGTGCCGCCGCACGGCGAGCTTTTGGGAGCATCGGGGGAAGGTACCGGCGTGTGTGAGATCGGCGAGTGCAACCCGCGTCTGATTAGCTCTGTCGCGTGAAACGCCAATGAGAAACTCAAAACAAATGTGGACAGCGCCTGAAAACAGATCTAGCTTGGTTTGGGGCCATGCAGAAATGCAGTCTGAGGTTGGATGCTCAGGCCGTTTCCATGACGGAGCATTGATCAACTGGCTGTACTGGGCCCCGCTTGAAGTCTCCGCACCACTAAGCTCTTCGTGTTTAAGCTGCATTGTGACGGATAGAAAAATTCTTGGGTTGAGATTAAAGGGAAACGAAAATTGCGGGGTACTTGTCATGCAAATAAACGAAGTAAAGCCCTGATGAATCAACTGGCCAATGAATGAGCAGACAGGAGGCATCGAAAACAGCTTCCCAATCGCATTTGTTGTCTCCACTGTTGTCTGAGGCTTGATTAAAGTATTTTCAATAAAAGGATGTGCACTTTCTTTCTGTGTTTGCCCATCAACAAAAATAATGTCAGTTTAGGCCGTTTCTGGGAGTTTATTGAGAACGGCTTGCCGTCTTATAATCCTTTTTATTTGTAAAAGAAGGCTGTAATCTTCCAAATTCGTTAGGGCATTCTTTTACTGCCCATTGCTTTTACTTCAACCAGACAGCATTGGGTTAACTGTGGTGAATATGTATGTACTCGCATCCTAAACATTTTTTCCTTTTGATTTGATTCAGATGGTATTGTGTGCAGTACAAAATGGTTTTAATTGCCGCAGAAATATGAAACTACACTGGATTACTATAAAAATATTCTCACTTTCTTAATGGTTGAAGTAAAGACAGACAAACAAACAAGCATACAAACAGTAAGATAATTCATTGTGACTTTTTGCCCAATGCTGTACTTTCCAAACCTGTAGGCTCCACCAGCCAAGGAAGAATAAAACGTAATAACTAATCACTGTAAATTCTTTGGATAGCGACTCTGAGGCATGATTTTAGCGCTGTGGATGGTGGGAAATTAAGTGGCACTATGAGAATTTTGGTCTGGCATTGCCCCCTAGAGACAGGAACAAACAGGTTGCAAAAAAACAAACAAGAACACCTTTTTAAGTTTTCCATGCACCATAAAGCAGCAGCAGCGCCCTCTTGTGCCTAGCATAAGAGGTAAAATGAAAAATACTGTTCTATTGCGTTATGCATACGTGTGTGTTTGCATTTTAAAGCCTTGTAGCTTTGTGAAAACACAGTGGTTTCTGCAAGTCTTTGGCTATAGATCATCAGTCACCATTATTTTTTTTAACAAGTTTTATTAGGCTACCAAGTAGTAGAAAAACGCATCAATAATCAAGGTAATGGAAAAGGAGAGACTTCTGGGAGCCTCTGGTCACCGACAGTAATGACATCACAGCTGCCCCAGGGTCAATCATTTGCCCCCTCCGCCGCAGAGCTCCAGCAGAATGGTGCGGTAATCACCTGAAGTGTCGTCCTGCCAAACAGAGGAGCACCTTTAGGGCAGGGGTCAGACAGGGGTCAGACAGGGGTCAGACAGGGAGCAGGCTCGCGCTCCGGATGCTCAGTGCCACCCTGTGACTCAGCTGTCACCCTGGTGCCACAGAGAGTGCAAACAGCACCACACCTTGATGTAGGAGTGGAGGCTCTTGCCACACAACATGGCAAACTCCGGTTTAATGTACATCATGTCGACCTCGGCACGGGACACCATGATTCGGATCAAGGTGCTGTCGGCGGTGCCTGCCCCCTGTGAACACAAAGGTGGGTGGGGGGTGAGGAGAGAAGCTCTGCTCTGACATGCAGCTGGGTCTCCGCGGCTCCAGCAGCTCTACATCTGCGTCCGCAGGAGCAATCGGGGAGGTATGTTACCTTCATGGATTTGTAGAGCTGCTCCGCGAAGAAGGCCGGCTTTTTCCTGATGCAGCTTACTGAAACAATAAAACCCTTAATGAGAGCCCTCTTCTCTGGCATCACCTGTCGTACTAAACTTCCACTTACATCTCTGAAATAACAATTTCCCAGAATTCCAAATGTAAAGCATTGCTCACGCCTGTATAACAGGAAGATGAACAGATACTGAAATGGATTCTTTCCCCATGTAATATTTGCAAATTTTATGGATACAGTTTTTTTTTGTGTGTGTTCTGTGTTAAGGGAATTGCAAGTGAAGATTTTGGCAAAGTCAGTATTTTAGTAAGTATGAATGACAGGAGTGATTTGAGGATTTGACCTTCGGAGAGGATCAGCCCAGATGAAATGCATATAATCACTAACTGGATTTAGAATAATATTTTTTCAACAGGAGCTGAGACAAAAAATAGGGTGGCAAAGCCACCCCTCGATATCTAGAATTGTCTATGTTGAACGGTAACATGGGCCTTTAGGCCTTTATCGCTTTCATTTCCTGGTCATGTTACTTATCTCTTATTATTTTTTTATCAAATTCTTCTCTGATTCTATACATCATTAGCAATTGCTGGGATTGACTTGCAGGGACTCCTAAGAGTGAATGTTGGGTTGGTATGGACAGATCCGGATGTTTTTGCCACTCAGTTAAAGAATATTCATAAAAACAAAGACCTATAGCCAGGAAGATGTTCTCCAGATTGCCAGACATCTCTCTCTTGATGCTCTCTTCAATGTCCCGGCCAGAGATCCTCTTATACTCCTGAAACACTACGCAAACAGGCAATGAGAAAGAGGAAGTCATCAGCACAGACCATCAGCAGCCCATTGCCCAACGGCATGAACACACACCCATAATTATGTGATCATTAGTAATGTGGTCATCAAGCTCCAACAGTATTAATATATACCTACACTTTTAAGTGGTCATCAATAACGTGGTAATCATAGCCCAACAGCATAAATACCTACACATTTAATATCATGGTCATTAAGGGCAATTAGCAGTTGCTTAACACATGAATCACTTAGTGGTAGGACTTTCTAACCATTATTAACTGCAATAAAAGTCCAGCAGACTGGAATTACCCAACGCTGGCCTGGTGCCATTGCGGAAGACCCGGCAGGGGAGGTCGTTTACCTCGGAGGAGGTGGTTCCTGTTTCTAACGCACAGCACGGTCAGGAATGTAGCCTCGTCTGTGCCCCATTGGGCCTCTCCAGCCTCAAAAATGTCCTACAAAAGCAAGGAGGCCAGTTACAGTCAGGTACATCATTTCGTACGTGGCGACGTGTGCTTTGCTGCATGCCGGCCATGCGATGCTGCCTGAGGATTTGCACCTTGGCGTCCTGCAAGGCCTGCGCCTCATTGACGAAGGAGCCTCGGTCGCGTCCAGCCTGACGTGTCGGCAAAGGAAAAAGAAACATCGATCGGTTTTGCAGTTAGCAGTTAGCAGGCAGGTGCAGAAACAGGTCTGCATGGCCACATAAGGAGGGAACGTTCTATCTCTACAGCGAGGCTTCGTTTTTTGGACTGTGATATCAATCAATACAATACGATTTTCAGTTTAGCATGATTTGTATTTAATCAGGCTAAAATAAGTATTTCCTTATTATTACAACATTATATTATATAATAATCATATTAAGTATGGGGTTTAAGAGTTGCAAATTACTTCATTCAACTAAAACCAAATCTACGTTTTTAAGTATCAGCATAGAGGATTTTTCGTGATCTTGGGATTCTGGCCCAGCGTCAGGATGACTTTTACCGTCAACAGGGACACCAGGACTCTCTGGAACATTCCGGAAGTGTCCCCACAGATATCCTCCTCCAGGCTCCTGCCATATTCTACACAGGGTATCACAATGAGGTACACATCTCGGCATCGGGGCAAATTTCAGTTCTTTCCCTATTTAAATATATTTCTAATGTTTAAGTACTTAAAAAACATTACGTGTCTAGCACAGGAAAGGAGCAGTCAGACTGACGGGAAGAGCAAGGCATCTGCAATGATGCAAAGCACCGCAATGGTCTTACCATTCCATCATCATCAGGGTCGTCTTCCATTACAGATTGTCACATATCAAACAATGTTTACCTTTGGTGTATGTGGCTTTAATAGCCTCTATTTCTTCACCACTTCTAGAGGCTAGGATTTCAATGAGGCAGGCTTCCTCTGTCCCAGCTCCCTGTTGGGGTATCAGAAAAGATCCCACCTTTGTTCCATGCTCAAAAAGACTGGCAGGTAAGAAGTAATGATGGCTTTACAAGAGAAATAACAGAGCTTTGCATACGGCGTTTGTGTTATATGAGCACATCCCTGCATCGTACTGGGCGACCTCTGACCTTAATGGCATTTTTCAACTCGTAGGCGTCATAGACAGGGGACGGCATCAACAGACCCAGTACCACTTTCTCAAAGTTTCCAGACAGCTCCGACTTCAATTCATCCACCAGGTTCTGGAGAAGACGACATGCGGGGGCAGACATGTGAAATCTAGGGTAGCTGACATGGAAGAATGGATGAGATGTGGATCCTTCTCTATAACCACAATAGTAACGTTGACATCAGGTAATAATATCATGAAATGAGACACTCATTTCCTATTATATACCTCCTATTATATTGACCATTTTGTTGGTTTATCAATGTTTCTTTTTGTTGGGTGTTTAGTAGGTCAAGCAAGCTTAGTACCATAGAAAAGATTCTGCACACTATTTTCACTGTTACATCCAAGTGGGTCATTGACCAGGACTCCAACCATGTTGCAGAAGGTGGATCTAGTCATGCAGGCCAATGAGACATAATACAGAATACCTTGGTTTCACGTGTGTTAAAAATAAACTGGCACTCAGTTTGCGAAAACATTTTTGCCGACAAACTGCTGATCCAGCATTGGGGCAATTTCTTATGATATGGAGAGAAACTCAATCTATGGATTTATTCAGAAGAAACACATTAAAACTGGGCTAGGCATATCTGTTTCTCCTGGTTAAATCCATAACTCAGTGGCTCCATGCTTCTCCGTATGCGCTGTGCCACCTCTTTCAACCTTCGATACGATATGCAGACTGAAGGGTATGTCCTGACTGGCTCATATGTACATGACAGCTAAAGGTCTGCAAAGCTCTTAATTGAAGGATAATATTCAATGTCAGACACTTTCATTTCGAGGAATTACCAGGCTAAGTGTGAAAAGTCTTTTGTAGAAGAAAAAATTTACCCTGGATCACAGTGCATGACAATGAACTTATTTCATCCCTATTAATCATTATAAAAGTCTTTGACTAACTGTTGAAAATAAGATACGTCCTACTAAACAGGAGCTCTTGTGTTACAACCGGGACCCAACCTTCAAAATGACAGCCTCAGTGTCTTGTTTTGTTGGATTTTAGATAAGGCTGCTGACCTTTGACCTCTTGAAGGATGGTATTTGTTTAATCAATGTGGCCGTGCAAGTCTCCACCTGTACGGCACACATCCCCTCTCTGTTAGGATTAATCATTAACCCTCCCTGCCCCTATAACAGCGCTCAACTCTCTGTCAACAGTACGCTTCTATTTCCTCATTTAACAAGAACTCAATTTCAATTTCCCATCCATAAACTGCTGCTATCGCTGACAGAGGGAGAGGATTTTAGGTTCCTCTTGCCTAATTGACTTGATTTCTTATTTTTTTACACATCCTGATAATAAGACACACTTTACTTATAATCCTGACAACCAAAGTGTCCGACCTATAAACCATCCATTTGCTAATAGGGTAAGTTCAGGTTAAGCATCAGGCTCAAAAGACCAACATGTGCTGTACCTTCCCAAATGAACGTTTGAAAGCCTCCTTGATGAGCTGCCTCTGTGCATTGGTGCGGTGGGCCAGCACCTCAATAATGGCCCCCTCATTGGTGCCTGGGGGAAGAACACTCCGTTATCCTGGTCCGAAGCAGCATCAGAAGCCTGACTATGATGTACTGCTATGTCATATGGCTCCTAGCGCTGTCGGCTTGCTAATCCTCGACGCAGTAAGCAGGCTTAGCTTATGCTCCTTAAGAGACTCGCGTTTTTATTATTATGGACTTTGGAAAAACAGTCTGCATTAAGAATGTTTTTGCGAGATGCCGGATGACTTCTGCAGACTCTCAGAAACCGTATGTTAAACCAATACGATGAGCTGGAATATGACAGCTCTGACTGGGATCTAGTAAACAGTGGAAAAAACGGAGAACAATGACAATTAGGCTGAAGGTCCAGCATCTGCTCTGTTTTTCCGGAAATCTTTACTAAATGACATCTGTATGCTACTGTGTTTGTCCGCCACGGCATCGGGATTCGATTTGAGCCATGCAAGCAATTACAAGTTGAGAGAGTGCTGGCTCATTCTTCAATAAGGAGCAGGGGGATAACTGAAGGGTAATAACACACATACACAAAGGAACGTCCGTCCGAATGAGTGCAACGGGAATCGCTGTCTTGGCACCAACACATGTTTTCTCAGCTGTGTTTCTTTAGCATTTAAATCATCCCACACGGTCTACACGAAAAGGCACACCTATGGCTCCACATACCTATGGCTCCACATACCTATGGCTCCACATACCTATGGCTTCCCCGACACCACTTTCTAGACGTTTGAATTTATTTTGAACTATCGTACATTTCTATGGTAACTTCAACTCCTGAATAAATCCCCTTTTTTGTTGGTGAAACCACGAAACTGGATTCAGAAGCACATGATGATCAGGGCTTCAGGGTAGTGGATGTTATGCATTGTGGTTTAACATTTAACAAAGATACTTTGACTAACATGGACAATGGGGTGAATATGGCCGATAAGAAGTAGATAGGCAGAAATAAAACGAAATATCACATGGCAATTAGGGGGCTTGTTCCCTAAAGTCTATATCATACAGGTTTGGCAGGTGCAACAATGTCACTTCATGCCCTTTCTGGTTCCCTTAACAAATTCTCAGCAATCCTGCCACTGCTCAATGAAATGACCTTTTGTTAATCACTCACCTATTCCCTTCATGGCTGCCCTCAGCTTCTTGGCATCTGCCTCAGGGTTGAAGCTCTCAGATACAACAATTGTCCCATGAGTGCCCATCTGTAGGTACGAATTTAGTGGCACGCAGCCCGAGGACAACAGTTTAAAACCACTCGATTCTGAATAACTGGGATAACACTGAACGGTTGAACTCACACTCATTCAACTCATCTAATTACTCATGAAATAATTTTCCATCTCTCCATCTTCCAAAACCATGTATCCAGTGCAAGTACTTGGTGAGACTGGAACTTGTCCCAGGAAGCACAAAGTACGGGCACCCAGTACAGGATACCATCAATTGGGCTAACACTCCCAAAATCACACACTATGGGCAATTTAGAGACGCCAATTCAATATAATTGCATGTTTTGGACTGCGGCAGGAAACCGCCGCATGTATGGGGAGAACATGCAAACTCCATCAAGTAATTATACTGTAATTTAATTGTATTCATAGGATGAAGTATCGTCTGCTTATAATGAACATATAAAAACAGAAAATAAGTGCTGCAAACAGAAGAGAAATATATGTCAGAGGAGGAAGAGTGGGTGGTTGGCTTGGAAATACAAGTATTTGTACTCATTAGAGTGATTATGGGGCTGGTATGTAAAATTAATCACATTTACACAGGAGGGAAAATAAACATACAGTAAGTGTATAAGTCATAAAACAATATTTTAGTTTGCAACATATGATAGGCCTATTGGGACACAATGAGGGTTTGTTGTCTGATTGTCATAAGTACTGTACATTCATTTAAATTCTGAGATTCACAAGATAAACAGGAAAATATACAATGACAGACGTCGTTGAAACAACACTTACCGCTGCCATGTTGGAAAAGATACTGTCACAAAGGTTGCAAGTAGATGGTTCTGGATTTGCTGGAAGAGGCTACAGCCTGACTGACTGGGGGAAACACAGAATCTTTCATGTCCCTGAATATAATCTGCCTTATCACTGTATTTATGATTCAGGTCACATGCAAATGCAACTGGGGCAGTAGTGCTACTCTGTACTTCTGCTGTTGTTCGGCACCAGCTTATCTGAAAATTCTGGTCTGCATCAGACTCGGTACACAAATAAGATTGATATTGAACTGATAAAATTACTAATTTACTTTTACAACTTCTCGTATTATTTGGGTAGAGCACCTAGTCTACGCAGAAATTCTACTCAGTCATATAGATCTTCTGCACAGCATGGTGCTCTGTATGGTGATTGACTGCAACCTGTTACATGGGACATTTCCTTCAATACATCTTTCACTATTAATTAATACCCAACAAAAACTATTGATAATATGTTGATAATATGTCTGGGGGCTGTTAGATGAAACCTGCATGAGAGCAGATAAAACATGCAACTTTCTTACACCCACAGATGCAATAAAATAAGCCTACACAATCCAGGAGGTGTGATGTGGTATCTATTAAAGGACTCTGCCACTAGATCTGAATGATATTACATTCCTAATGGCAGCCAATTTGAAATACACTGTTTTTTGGCCGTAATGAATGTGCGTTCGCGCATTATATGAAATTAACGTAACAAATTTAATGGTCGACGTACGTGCTACACCCTCTTCCCTGGGAAAATATATGTTTTTTTTCCCTGTAATTTAATGCTAATGAATGATGCTTTTAACTCGTTACATCATTTAAATTGGTAAGCCGGCAATTTTCATGAATTACTTCAGAATAATCCACAATGTTATTTTACAAAGATATTACATATAATTCATAATCGTTTGGCACTCGTGAATGAGCTGTGAAGGTTATTAGAGAGTACTGATGTTTCAGCAAAGCTGCAAAAATGAAGAGCTTAGAGGTGCACCGTCAACAGGACAAAATAACACATTAAATAAAAATGAAGCTGAAGAAAATATCTCCACAATATTTCTTAACTAAATTTTGCAAGTATCGAATTTCATTAGTTTTTCACAGTGAAGGAAATGAGATTGGTTTGTGCCTGTTTCAAGCATAGTGTTGTAGAAAATACAATTAGGAATAATACAATGAAACTGATAATACAATGCAGAGAACTGACATTATACAGTAAATATAAATAAAACGTATGTTTAAAAAGTGAATTAATTGAATGAGTACTCACTTTTCTCGTTCTTTATTCAGTGAAAGTCTCGGTGTTGTAATTTAATGAAATGATGAACGGGTTTTGAAGTAATATAGGCCGGGGCGTGTATTGACATAAGAGCGACAGGTTGGGTGACCGAGGGGGCGCCCGGGGAAGGAGGCGGTTTACAGACGGCTGTAAATCATAACTTGGACGCGCTGAAATAAACGGATATCGATTTTCCCCACCGATTCCATTCAGTTAGTATTGCATTTCATTAAATATTACATGAGAGACAAAGAAACCAGACCTGGATAACAGAGGTTAATAGAAAAACTGGTAGGCCTAAGTGTTTAACACGACGGAGTTAATTTGGTTTTGATTGCATAGAAGAAAGAACTCCCAAGAAACTTTGGGGTCAAATACAATTTAACTATACGCGTCCTTTTTTTTTTTTACTATGATTGATACACCTATCCCAGTTAAAATTACATTATGTGATGTATCTATGGTAAACATATTTAATTTAACGTTATATTAAAATATAATAAATATAACCTTAAAACGTGAAAAGTATCACATTATTATTATAACGAGATACCTAAATATTACAATATCTCGTTATAATGAGATATGAAATTATCTCTTCAAAACGAGAAAGCTTGGCGATATAATGTAATACTAATTTGGTTAAAATGAGAATCTAAACGATTTTGTTAAACGAAAAACATTTCTCCTTATAACGTAATGGATATGTTATGTTGATTCCTTTACATAATTTGATCACATTTTACTTCATGCTGGGGGCGAAACTGCGGTCAAGCCATCCGCACAGTGTCACTGTGCATGAACACTACGAGTTTTACGGTAGTAAATTTATTTGTTCAAATCTTTGTTTGAGATATATTGGGTCTCTCATTTCAGTTTGAGAATGTTCTTCTATATCCGACAAGTAGCCACATAAAGTTTCATCCAGTTCTACGGTGAAATTTAGGAATTAAGCGGAGGAATTGCTTCTTCCCCTCAGCTATCAGTGTGCTCAAAAGTACCTTACAGCGCTGATTCTCCACCCCGCTCCCCTCCACACACAACTTGGTGCCTCGATTAATTGAACACTTTTGGTTTGCACCTGCTGCTGATGTTGTACATTGTATCTCCTGTTTGTACTGTTCGCATCTTTTCATATTTCCTAGCCCAGTCATTCTCACTGTACTTCCTGTGTGCGCCTTAAGTCACGGGCCACCTCGTATATTTTGCACAGAACCATACTTTACAGTTTTACACCATGAGCATCGCTTGGTCCAATCATTAGGTTCTATAGTCCGAGTATTTTAAGCCTATAGCCTCCAGTATTTTAGCCCCGATGCAAATGATCCTACTTCAGAAACAAAAAAGTGAAACCCCAGGCTTTACACATATATTCATATCTATCATTTGATATAATTTAATGTATTTATATGTTTTTGATTTGCACCTGGTTAGATTCATCTGCATTTCACTGACTATGTACCTGCCCTCAGCACACTTACAATGAAGCTGAATCTTATGGTCATTGAACCCTATATACTGTAATATAAAATACATGTATATACACATCTCATAATAACGAGATAAATATCACATTATAATGAGAAACTGGGGAAATTTTATCGGGGGGAGGGAGTATCAATACGCTGCCTTAATTTTGCAGTTATTTTATGCATTTTTGCATAGATCCATAAAGTTTATACTTAAATGCTAAGAGTAGCTGATTTCTATACATCAACTCAGTGGCCATTTCTCTGATGCATAAATACACTGAACTCCATAGCCATGCATTACATACCCAGCTTTTAACATATAACAAGCAATTAGTAATAATAACTTTTAAAAATGTAACACATATCTAAACTTAGCATTACAGTATAGCTCTTCTTGCCAATTCAAGATTTCATCGTGCCAGTCATGCCATATTTTTGAAAAAATTCTCACTGAGACTTCTCAGAAAGTCCCTTTTCCATAGATGTGTTTGCAGTTTTTCACACTAATATGCTGTCTCCTTTCTGGATTACATAACCCATCACCAGTTTCAAATATCATTTTTCTATGGGCTAAGTAATATGCATATTTTAAGCTCCAGATTTCAAGAACTGGGGTTAGGAACCATTTGTGTGGTTATTATTGAGGATATGAAATCTGTCATTGAATTTGTTTATGGTAGGAGGGTTCTGAACTTTTTATTCTGTGTAACCAATTTGCTGGATAACCTTGAACAGTCCTTAGTGCCTAGTTAGAAATTTAGGCTATGTGGATGTTTGGGCTTGGAAACAAAGTAAAGATTCTCAAGATATCAAGATTCTTTATTGTCATTTCTTTCATGGAGCAGTATGACAGAAATGAAATAACATTTCCCTAAGTCAAGTTGTTGTGCCAGATCACATATACATTAAATTTACACATTAAACAAATACAATAAAATTACATATTTACTGTTTACACAAGTACATGTACATTGGAATGCTTCTCTCCATCTACCCCGTCTCGCTCTCCATGAGACACACAGAACACATGTAGGCGAGAGCAAGCTTGGGGGGGGTGGGGGGACTCAGCCAGTGTGCAGCACTCCGGGGGCTGGAGGCTAAGGGCCTTGCTCAAGGGCCCATGGACATGTGACTATTCTGCAGAGGCCGGGGCGAAAAACTGGTGGTCCTCAAATCACAGACACAGGCACTAATACTTGTGCAAATGGCAAAATAAAGGATTTATCATTTCTATTTATCAAATTACTATAGCATAATATACCCTAGAACAGAAATTACCCAATGAAAACCGTGATATGTTTCTTTTTAATATAATATAATATATTATATTATATTATATAATATAGGGCTAGTATTGTGAAAATGGGAAACCAGGCATTAATGTATTTAGAATGATATCAAGTTGGGATTCAAGACATTGAGATGATTCTGTACATTTTTCCAGAAAGCAAATTTTCAGAGTGTCCCATTGTAACAACCCTAACCACAATATAATATAATAGACATTGTATTTGGTGCAAGGTAACAACCAACCAACAGTTGCAGGGTGCACATACGGTTAATTTAAGGCATTTAAGTTGCATGTTTATGGACAGTGGAAGGAAACTGGAGGATCCGGCGAAAAGCCATGCACACTCAGGGTTAACATGCAAACTGCACGCACACGGAGCGGCGGTGTGCAGCGACAGCGTTTCCCAGTGCGTCACTCTGCCGCTAGACTTGTATGATGTGCTGTGTAAATATTGACAGGGCATTTCATACACATGCAAGTGTCACATCACAAGGACTGTGACAGTCTGCTGGGTTTAAATAATCAGTGAGTTCTGATAAAACATTTTTACTCATAGGAAATAAAATGTAACAATTTTAGTGATGTTCCTTTTCAACATTATCTAGTATAAGTTGAAAAAGAATCAGTGTAAAGTTTATCGCAGCTGCTTTTGCATGAGCTCGGCATTCGCGCTCCGAGACAATCATTATTACCCTCATCCTTGCTGTTAGACTCATTTATAGTCCGTGTGGCACGTTTGTGAGAAATTTAACAAAAATGAATGAAGAGTAATTGAAGAAACACTGGTCATGAAAAGACATTAGACTTCAACTGAATGATAATATTTAGTATTCCATATAGACAATATTGAGTAAATGAAAGTGACTGGTCAGCCCTGCTTTGTGGTCGCACCACCAACTTATTCGACAGACTCTGGAAGTTCTATTTAGCTGCAAAGCTCATTTTCGACTCCTATCACAAAAACGTCAAACAATGCAATGTGAACTTTTTTTTAGTATCGTTCAGCTCTACGTCAAAACACACATGCTCTCAAAAAAATAATTATGTAGTTATTATGTATTGTATTACGTGATATCATGCAGCGATTATTTTGATATGCGGGAATCATAGAAAGTAAATTAACCAAAATGTTTTAAGTAAAAGCGATGACAAAGACCGGCTAGGCTACTCCGAGAGGCTAAATGGCACGTATCTACAGATAACTACGCATTATCGGGTATGTACGTCAACCTTAAACATCTTCTTTTGAGGTGCATCTGCATTGCAGTCAGGCTGTAGTGATATTTAAATTCTACTTTGCAACACCGACGGACCGCATTTTCTTTCACTTTTAACGTGAAGTGCTTCCACATATATGATGCTTTCGCTCTGGATTCAGACTCTCATCCGCTATGCAGTCTTATTTCCACTATATTGCCGAGCAATCAAGAAGGAAAATTTTAACTGATGCTTTTTAATAATGGCATAATTGTGGTAGTTCTACTTAAGTCCACAACAGACTATTATTTGTATATGGCTTAGGATGCTTCTTCATAGTATGCAAGATGCTGTGCAACCTTTGGTCATACAATAGAAAATACTGCATATAAATTAGAATTAACGCTTATATTTAAAGTAATGCCTATCTTTTTTGCTTTCTTGTTTGACTGATCATAGACCGTAAGTTACACTTAATATATAGCTAACTAGTTAGAGAGAATCCACACAGAGAACATGACACGTTTAGGTTATAAAGAATTACATTTATTAAAGTGTTTGACTTAGTTAATTTTGAAATAGCTAAGCCATATTCATATCACAGCAAAGTGTTGAAAATATTACAAATGTTAATGACACTGATTGTTCCGTTCAATACTGGTATCATAATATTTTACAAAAATTCCAAAGTTTTCTGTTGTGAATGTATTATGACACACTCATTATTAATCACTGCATTGATTCCCGAATAAACATACCAAGGATGGAAACAACAGCATGTTACAGCTTTGCTTTATGGGAGTTGCTATTGAGGTGCTTGTGGAAAAACCGCTGAATGCGTCTCCATAGGTCCACGTGTGCGTCTGCATGCACCTTCGCATTGCCGCCAAAAGAAACTACTTGCCCTACAGCAGCATGAATGCCGGAGGGATAAAAAGGCATATAAGGAACCTCCAGAAAGTGCCCTGCCTTTGGGTACTTTACTACCTCAAAGTTGTCTTTCCCATGATCCTTCAGTCTCTTGGTAGCCTGCTCCGCAAAGAGGTAGCTATTCCAGTTCCTGTCATCCTCTGATGCCACGAAGAGGAACTTACCGTTTGCTTTCTCGATTGGGATGAGGGAAGCTTTATTCACCTCTGCCATGGGGTCAGTCACGACATCCTTGATCTCTATAAGTCCAAACCCGTTGATTCTTATTTTGCTGATGTCAACCGCGACTGCAGGGAAGATCCTGTCTTTGCAGTGCAGGGGGAATACAGTAGCGGCATTACAGCCATTGATCCACACAGTGGCAGAAACGTCTGGCAGGAGTGATGCTATAGCCAAGGCCAGATCTCCACTCTTAGAAATCGAAATAAGGCCAACCCCAGGACCTTTGACCTATCATTAAAGAACGACGCAAAGTGTTACATCAAAGCACAAGTGAAGTCTATGAGGAAAAGAATTTAAAGGAAATTTCTGTCATTTACAGATGGCAATGCGATGTACATAATACAAAGGCATATAAAGGTTAAAAAGCTCAATTAAGAATATAAAAAACTGCTGCTTTGGTAGTTCCTATTTTAACATATGATGAATGACCTTGCATGTTCTGAACACAAACCTCAGGCAGACTCCGCAGGAATGTCAAGGCCTCTTCAAAGTATTCCAGATCAAAGTGGGTAACGGTCTTGGGCAAATCGTCATATCTATAGAAGGCCAAACACAGGACTACAAAGCCCTTGTTTGCCAGCAGACTTCCGCGCACCTCTGTCAAGCCACCGCCTAATGTGTAAAGGTCAAGAACCCCTGGGAACGGACCTGGCCCTAGTCCACAGGAAACAGAAAAGGCAGTAAACCGACTACAGTCTCATTGTCACACACAGAAAATAACTTGCAGTCCTTTAAGAATTAAGTAGTGTTATAAAAGCACTTCATAGCAGAGCATTTAACATTTGCTTATTGTAAGAATTCTTGCCTTTTATAAGCATTTTAAGAACACAATCTTATGTCTTCAGTCGCCAGTGTCACAGTTCATTTTTAGAAAAACAGAAATGCATTATGAAAAACTAACCAGGTGGGAAAAACAAGGTACCCCTTACTCTTCCAAATTTTACAGGTACCCTGCGAGCTCCTTCTACCATGAACCGCCTTTCCACTGTCGCGTTTCCAAGCGTGTGTCCCAAATCCGTGGTATCAGCCACCTCGATATTAACCAAAAATGGACTCGATGTATCTCTTTTTATAAGTCTGCTGTGGGGTGTTTCTGGTGCCATAGACCAGAACAGACCCATAGGCTCAACACCAGTGTAGCTGCCACTCAGAGAACTAGAGGTTCCTAAATCAACAGTACCACTGGTGTCTGCGCAGTATACCGCAGATGATTTAAAAACTACGCCTTTGTCGTCAGTAAGTTTGGCCCTCAGCTCCACACTTTGCTTTGGAATCAGTCCCTCCACTTTCATTTGCAGCGGCTCATCGAATAGAGTCTTCGAGCTGGGAAATATCTGTACGCGAGCCCGAGCGCTCATTATGGATCGTGTCAAATGAAATGACCGAATGCAAATCCGCGTTATTAGCACACTAAGGGGCATGTTTACAGAATCGCGTCCTCGGCTGAGTTTTCAAGATCACGTCACGCTGCGCAGGAACTAACATGAAACGTACGAGGGACGTCTGTAATTTTGCTGCCACCTGCTGACGTGGAGGTTAGTAGCTGTTTAGAGTTCAGTGCCTTGGAGTTTTAATGCGGAATGTAACTGTTTTATTTCCTCTTGCCACAATTAAAATAATATTGCATTATTAAGTTACAGAAAGAAACACTGCAGATATTAATACACTAGAATCGCAAAATGCAGTTAAAATGAGTTCATTGACTTCAAAATATGCTTCACCAATCCCTCGTTGGGTTACAACTGGTTTGTAACAACATTTAGGCACTTCCAAAAGTTGTTCAATAAAATACATCAACCAAATGAAATGTTTTTAAATGTTCAATCACTGAATTTCTTTAAAAATCCACAAACGCATAAATGTATGTCTGCTAATAAGCAATTTAATGTAATTACTTAATTACATATATCGGCTGTAAGATTAAGATAAAGATGAGGATGCTTGATTGTCATTGTAAGTACAATGAGATTTAGTTTGGAACGCGGCAGCAGATGCATAGTAAATACAATTAAATAGAACCCGAAGCATAAAATAGAATCCTAGAATAAAACATGTACACACACACACACACACACACAATAAGGTGCTGGTAAGTTGGTAGGTGAGCAATTTCACAGAGGTAGACTTTGTCAAGTGGATTAAGTACAGATAAATGTGGATATTGCACATATTAGGGTAGTGCATCAGAATGTTTGAGATCAGTGCTGCGATTTCAGAAGTGTGATGGACGTAGGATAAAAACTGTTCCTCAGCTGGCTGTGTATGTACAAGGTTCTGTAGCATCTATCAGATGGCAGAGGTGTAAAAAGTTTGTGTCCATGGTGGGTTTGGTCCTTGATTATTTTTTCAGCTCTGCGGCTGCACCGGGTGCGATGGATTCTTCCAGTGATGGAAACTGGGTGCCAGTGCCACTGGGCTGTCTTAATGATGTGCTGCATGGTCTTCCTGTTCTCCGAATATATGATTCGGTAACATTTCTGTAAAACAAAGAAATCATTATGGAATATTTGGGGTTCGAGTTGTAATGAGATGCGCGTGGATGCCATCCCATCTATGGAAACAAATTACAAAACAATTTCTTTTGAAAATGTGCACTTCCTTCTCACCATCCCCGCAAATTGTGAAACTTTCACTCACATAAATGTAAATCTACCGACTATATCAGCGGCACTCAACTGGCAAACTCTGTGTTAATGTTTGTGCAGTATTGTGCAGTAATGGAACGCAGTATTATCAGAGTGGAGGGGGTATGTTTTGAGTTGATATTATAAGATAGGTGCCACTAGTGATTGTATGATATGGGGCACAACGCTATAGCTGTTGATAGGGAAGAATGAATAAGAGAACCTGAGAGACCGGATATACTGTACAAGCCAGTTCATTGGTGGCGCCTGTGGGCTGGAGTCCCACCTCTTCTCTCTATGTGGATTTTGTGTTCCCTGTGTTGCCCATGGTTCCTCCAACAGTTCAAAGACATGCTAGGCTAACTGGTGTCTATAAATGTGCCATGATGTGTGAGTGTGCGCATCTATGGGCCCTGCTTGGACTATCATTCCATAAGGAGGACCGCTGCCCTTGTACCCAGTGCTGCTCAGGATAGGGTCCATCCCCCCATCACGTGACCCTGATTTGGCTAAGCAGTTGGGTGATAGATGGAGCACGACAGCGGGCTACAGGTAAAGGGGATGTTATAACCTTGTGTAAAATCGTTTCTAAAACTAAATCCTACCCCCTAATGGTCATAAATGAAAGTTAAGAAGTTTGTAGACAGCTGCTTCAAAAAAAGTTAAAATGTAACGTGGTTTTGCTTTATTTAAAGCGATTTTATTATTTTTGAACAATTTTGATATTTTGAACAATCAGCCTCCGGAACGAACAGAAAATAATACAACCAAAGAGCTTAAAAGAGCAAAGAGCAACAAAACCTTATTTTGAATTTTTTAAAAAACAAAATCAAGTGTTACTTTATAGGCCAGTGTCCATTTGGTGTTTACATATATTTTTTTCTCTTGAAAGCATTTATATTTGCTGTTTTGGATCCTCCCAGTATTTTCCTCCTGCACATAGTATATGTGGAAAAGAACAATCTCCCTTTCCACCACTTCCTTCGAAAGGTTGTTTTTTTTGTGCCAGGTAATTATCATACAGAATTCGCTTCGTCATTCACAGCAGACCTTTGCAATTAAGTCAGAGGTTGCACATAATTATTTTTTTTAATCAACCCCGACACTGACCAGTATAAACGTTTGGAAGATAAGAAACTTTTATTAAACTTGCTTTAATGCTAATGCATGGCATATGATTATAGTACAAATTGGGTGATATATTTCAACCTTTAATCTGAATCTATGTACGGAAGAGGATTAGGGCCACCATGAAAATATTATTTGAATTCTGTCTTTAATGTCAGAATTCTGACTTTAATCTCAGAATTCTGAATTTAGAAAAAAAAGTCTGAATTCTGAGATTAAAGTCAGAATTCTGAGAAAAAAAAGTCTGAATTCTGAAATTAAAGTCAGAATTCAAATAATATTTTCATGGTGGCCCTAATCCTCTTCCGTAATACAGGCTAATTTTCAGAAAATGCCACTTCAAGATTGATTAATTTCACATACATTTCCTAAAATGCACATGCATATAGCTGGATGGAGATAGGTTTAACAGAGATATAGCTTTCTAATAATTTTTTCTTGCTCTTTTAGGAAGACAGGATCGTATCATTATGAATGACAAAAAAATTCCAGCTGCTTAGTACGTTTTGAACTAAGTATCAATAGAACCGTTTTGTTTGATAGGGAAATAATAAACATCATGCACAACTAAGCGGATAAACTTGACCACCGTGGCTCTGTGCTGGAATTAGGCATTGTACTCACATGATGCACACTATAAAACGTAATTTGTGGCCGGTACGCCTTGTGTGTCGATTGGAGTTGTAGTTCAATATTTTTGCCGTTTGTTACACCAGCCAGTAGCGTCTGATCGGGCATTTCGTAGGGAAGATCTGTACACCAAGGACTACAACTGCCGAAAATCCGATTATCTACTTATTTTTATTTCGACACCAGTGAGACACCCACAACCTTAATCTGAAGTGAGAAACAGTCACACACCCCCCCCCCCTTTGTCAAGTTTGCTAAACACGAATTATATGGTTTCTCGCTTCCTGTTTGGTTGCGTTTCCTGGTACGAGGATGAGCCACTCAGCTGTTTTTACTGGAGGCAAACGGAGCGCGGCGTTAGCCTGTTAGCCTGGGGCGGCAGCTGCCGGAGGAGGGAGACCCGCCGCTTGGCTTTACGCGGGAGAGGAAGCTGACGGAGCGCCTGGGAGAAGGTGCCTCCCCGGGAATATCAGCGCGGATGACCGGCCGGTCACGCCGATGAAGCGCCGGACTGAATGGAGACGCTTCCAGTCAGCAGATTAGCTGCCAACCGCTCAGACTGGAGCTGGGGTTTTAAGTCAGTATAGCCAGCTGGTCGTCGCGGCGGTTTTTACTTGACATGAAGCCGGTGTCTTATTTGCCAAGACGCCATGGGCAGCAAATGATTGAATGTATTTTTTAACCCGAAAAAAAGAAATATCTGCTATCGTTTTTGATAGCGTGTGGTCGTTACCTGGTTAGTCCAATGAATATTTTAAATTAGCTCGCTAGCCTGCTAAATGTACACCTAGCAAGTGCTAACTGGCTAATCATCAACAATCACGAGTAGCAGCGTTTTTTTAGCTTTATTTTATGTCCACTGTTTGTTTTCGGTTTGTACTTTGAATTTCGTCTTGCTGGATAACAACATCATTGACCTGGCCAATTTAACCTTGGCTTGTAATCACATAAATATGAAAGTGACAGGCAAATATTGACCTTATTCCGTTTTGTCGAGCGCCAGTAGACTGGGTTGACTTGACATCCGTTATAAGTACTGGTCCATTAGCGTATAAGCTAACTAGTTACCGTGTTTGGGCGTAAGCTGTGTTTCTAAGATAGCTAGCCAGCTCCCCATCATCTTTTGGGCCACGTTGCTAATATCGGAAGCTGGCGGCAGTGAATCATATCGTTTTTCTTTAAACTACTTATTTTGTGATTTTATTTTTTTTTGTCCATAACAATTTTTTTCCTACGTTGTCACAAACAATGAAGAAGTTTTTTGACTCTCGCCGGGAATTGGTCGGTTCCGGACCCGGTTCTGGGGCGAGCTGTGGGGGCAGCGGGTCTGGCGGCGGAGGCAGTTTCATAGGGAGGGTTTTCACCATCGGCCGGTACCAGGTCACCGTGGATGAGACGCTGGCAGAAGGTGAGGTTTGCTAACTTCTTCCTTTTTCTGCCTTTTGTAATCATTCGCTTTCTGCCCCTTTCAGCTGACCACCGTAGCCCCCTAGGACTGGCAACCAGCAAATTAGCTTGTGCACTTTGAATAAGCTGTTATTGAAATACAAGAAATGAATTCCCACAGGATAAAGCCAGGTGGAGGATAAAACGTGTTTAACTTGTTTAATACAGCAAAACCCAGGTGCATTACTGTAACTGAGCCTTTAATACCGTTGTTGATCATTCGACCATCTTATGCTGATTTATTTGGCCATTTGACCCTTATAAATGACCTGTCTGTTTCTGAATTGTGAATACTCATGCTATGGAAAGTGTCAGCTGTTTAGCTTTCAACATATGTGCATTTTTTCCCTGGCAGTGCGGTTTGCAGATATATATTGGGTGTCTGTTCACATGGGTTGTTTCTCCAGCTGAAGAAATGCTTTGAATTCTTTGGAATCTAACAGAACATTTCTGTTCAGTGTCACCTGTGAATCTGTGGTGTCGGGGTTCAGGTGTCAGGGACAGTTTGGTTGATCAATGTCTGTATTACATCTTGTGAATATTTGTGCTTTACATGTTGTATTTGTGTTTGGTTATTAAACTTCTGTGAACAAATAATATTCACACACAACTATATACCTTATCATTGTATAAAAGCATATATTTCCTTGGATTTGTAGCTAGTTTCATGAAGCTATTTCTGATTAAGGTGTTTAGATGGGATGGTAAATGCTGACGGCTCACTGCTGTTTTCTTGCATCTAAAGCAGGTTTTATTATAGTTATTTTTGTTAAGCGTCATGGAATTAAAATGCTATTGTTGTTATAATTAAGCTTTCTTTGGAGCACAGGTCAGCATCACGAGGAGTAGCCTGCATTTTACAAAGGTGTCTGCAGATGGGTGACATGTTGACGGGCTACACACGGTGTTGGCTTTAAAGTGAGCATTTGGGAGGCAAGGTCATGATGTTGTGCTTTGCTGACTAAGTACCCTTTGGATGATGGGAAGGGGCGAGAGGAGTAGCTCTGCATCCTCGAGAACGCAGTGCCAAGCGTGTCTGCTGACCACAGTGCCCATTCAGAGATAGCAGCAGCCCATTCTGTTTTTCCCCCACTACGTTGTGTTTCCTGAACATTGGTTACTCAGACAGTTTTCAGCACCCTAAGTTTCAGACATCAAAGGGTGTCCTTGATAATAGGGCTCATGTCCTTGGTAATGTGGCTGTCTGTTAAAAAAAAAAAAGCCCCCCCTCACCACAGACTGGAGGAATTAGGATTGCTGCAGCAGAACATTGCAAAGGGCTGTCCTGTATAGTCAGTTTTCAAGGCTGTGTCCTGTTTAGCTCTGCTTATCTTTATTGTGTTGTGAAATGTATAGATACAAAATCAGCCAATTTGCTACACTAGTTTCTTTATGTATGATATACAGGAGGTTTAAACTTTGCTCAGCTTAGATGCATTGCTACAGACCCAAGCATTTGTTTCCTGTCTGGATCCCTCCTCACACCCTCGTTAGCAGTGTGCTGATCCAGCCTCATTGGTTGCGCAAGCATTTGTGTTTCCCTGCGTCTGTGGTTCTGCAGCACCTAAGAAAACAGGGTCTTTGTGAGCATGTTATGTTTTGAGGTGCACCCCTGGACAAGCGTGCAGTTGCTGTGAAGGGTTGTTCATTTCTGTGTCCAACCCTTCTTTGTCCTTGTAATGAAAAGACCAAGAGTTTGCATAACAACATAAAACCAATATATTTAAGCCTGCAGGTGTCTTTTGTCATTGAGGACAGTTAAGGGTTTTAGGCTGTACTAGGCTGGCAAGCAGACAGACAGGGTGTGTTGTCATCCTCCCTCCTGTCACTGTGTTGCTATGTGTCTTCTACATTAAAGCAGTGCTGAGTCATAAATCTCCAAATGGCCAGAATAAGTGAATGCTGGGAGCATACATTGAGCTTTGGTGTGTTTGTATTTCTCTGCAAGATGGTATAAACATAATATACCCCAACCCCAGGCACTCGGAAGCTATTTATTCGTTGAATAGGTGTTGATTAACATGATAGATCTTAATTTACATTGGCTAATGTTTTACAGATCTTTTTATGGCTCTGTGGGATTTTGGACTGTTGTAGTAATGTGTATTTATATTTGTGTGTTTATTTTTTAATGTTTGCTTTATTATAGCTAGACCCTGGTTACATTGTAAAGAACACCCAATCATTGAGCAGGGCTGTAGGTCTGTTGTCCATGTAGGAAGTGTGGCCCATTTGTGATACCATGTAGAAACCATGACAAGCTGTTTGTTGTATTTCTGTCCTTGTGCTGAAAATGGGGGATTTGCAGTGCCTTTGGAGACAGTCTGACAGTAAGCCTCTGTGTCTAGTGAAGTCCTTTCTGTACAGTCGACTTATCTTCTGACAGCTTAATTTAGCTGCAGTAGATCTGTTCCAGTGAAAGCCCCTTCCTTGTGACATGCTGATTAAATGACTGGCTAGTGCGGCTTTGGCCATTCCTGTATGGTCAGGCACCTGGACCACTGGCGTTACAAATCCGGCTCGGCGCTGCAGGAGAGAGTGAACATTGAGGAGACGCTTGAGGTCTCAGCTGGGCATAAAAGTAGGCCTAATTATTATAATAATCCTTTACTTGCCATTTACACAAGTATGGGTACATTGGAATCTAGGGATGTAACGAAACATTCAACTAACGATTCGATACGATTCACGGTTCTGAGTTCACGATACGAATGAGCTGCAGACAAATTTATTCAAAAATATTTCTTTATCTTTCTAAACTGCAAAACGTGTCCTCTTAATAGTGCAGCTGAAATTGAATAGAATACTAAAAAAAAAAAAAACCCTAAATAAATAAATAAAAAAATTCAAATAAATGTTAACGCTTTACATTAACTGCACCTTCATAATGCTTTTATATTGCATTCATAAAACGTTCAGTACACTTTCATAATGTATTCAGAAATCATTCATAAACATCGTGCATGTATACCTTTACATCCTAATATCCCTTAACAGCTGTAATAAACATTAATAACAAACATTATAATTGAATAATCATGTATTGTTTGTTATTAATGTATATTAAAGCTGTTAAGGGATGTTAGGATGTTAAGGTGTACTGGCATGCTGCTTATGAATGTTCTATGAATGCATTATGAAGCTGCACTGAATGTTATATAAATGCATAATGAATGCATTATGAAGGTGCACTTAGTTTATATGGTAACACTTTATATTAAGGCTTGCATGTGCAGCTTCTTACCGTGGTTTGCCCTTTTAATAATCTTCACTCTGACAGTGGTGAATTGAGCTCACTGTGGTGCCGGTGGACATGCTGAAGCATGTTCGTTGTGCTATTTGTGTATGTTATCAGTCTTTTACAATGTTTGCACGCAATTTTTGTCATATCTGTGCTTTTCTCGCCATTTTCGTTTGTGTTTACCGGAAAGTAAAATGCTGCCACACCGCCGATTTAAGATCCGGGGGGGGGGGGGGGTGTCCTCAATTTCAAATTCACTCGCCATCTCGTGTTCGGTCAAAACCAAAAACTAATGTACGACGTTGACGTGAGCACACAGTGACATCTGACGTCGAACTGACGTCGTGAAATCAAATGTAATATTACACCAGTTCTTCTGTTGAGTAAAGTACCGTGAAGTACTCCTAAGGTAGCGATTCATTTTCCACATCAGCCGCTTTAAATTGTCATACATTTGCATCGATTTTTAACCGATTCGCGATTCAGCCTATTGGAATCTTCTCTTCCACTACCCATTTTGCTCTCCATAGCTTGAGGGCCACAGTTCAGGGACAGCCAACGAGTGGCACCCCTGTAGCTGGGGGTTAAGGGCCCACGGACATGTGACTATTCTGCAGAGCCGAGACCCGGCTTGAACTGGCAATCTCCTGATCACAGGCATGGAGACCTAGCCCGCTGTGCCGCTCACCGCCCCCATTTACGAGCGTGTGTGGTGGGCTGTGGTAAGATCATTTTTGAGATTTGAATCTAGTTAGTGGTTCTCCTCACTTAGCCAAATGCCCTGTCCTTTCTAGGCAGGATCAGTGAGAAATTTATTTAAATGGAGTTATGAGTTATGTTAAGTTCTGAGACCCTGGCCTCTCCACCCGTCCCCCCCCCCCCACCGTGCCCCTGCCGCTATCATTTACGTGCCATCCTGTGCCCTTGCTCTCTATCATCACCTTTTCTCCACTTCCTGTTCTGTAGCTCCGGCCTTACGGCCTTACCCTGCCTGGTCACTGCGGCCGGTGAGGGACGTGTACTCGTGGGGAGCACGCCACTCCCTGTCAGCTGAGTTGGTCCCTTGCTGAATAATAGATGGATCGTGGGTGATTTATTCATTGCTGGTTTGGATGGGCACCATCTGTCAGGCAGGCTTGTGCCAGCTATGTGTCAGTTGGCCCCTTGGCCCCCTCGTTTTTATCGCTGGGTATACAGAGGGCACTTGTTAGCTGCGGTACCTATGTGTGTCTCCCTGAGGGGTTTGAATTCTGCCTGCCTGTTGAGAGTGATCCATAACAATTTCCTTTAAGGTGTTGTATTTATCTTTTGTCCCTCCTCCATCTCTGCTCCCTCCTAGGCATCAGGCTGATTGCCAATATCTTAGGAGCCGTGGTCAGTAAATGGATTACGCTAAATATGAGCATTTCACAAGGATTCTTATCAGCAACTTGTAAATGATTCTGTGCTTTAGATTTCCCAAGTGAATGATAGTTTATTTTAATTTTATGAATTAAAAATTGTTGTCCACCCTGAGAATAAAGTTAAGTTTCTATTTGTGTGAGTGACAAGAAAGTGTGATAAATCATTAATGATCTATATAATGCCTTTGTAGTTTGAAGTTGGTATCATTAGAATTGTTTTGTCAGTTACTTTTAACTTTTCTCAAATTTCAAAACAATTTCATCAAACTTCTGCCTGTTTGAGCTTTATACTGCTGAAGGCCACTGGACATACTTACATCTTGATGTAACGTGATGAACTTTATAAAATATTTATGTTGGAATGAACATTTCTGCTGTTATTTTTGTGCTGGAAACCAGGTGAATTTGAAATGAGGAAATTTTAAGTTGTTAACCGCTACCGTTGGCCTATATGGCGTTGCTGGTTCAGCTCCAAGTTATACAGACAAAACATTGGCGAAAGAAACAGTGTACATTTAATGAAGGCCATGAAACATTCATCGTGTATGTGGCTTCGGGTGAACTCATAAATTTTCAAGTGAACTACCACAGAAAGCAGAAAAATGTATACAGGGAGTTCTCAATTGTATCATGTTGCAACAATATCAATGAAGTAGCTAATTTTCCCCCCTCATGTAGAGTGGCACGCTGACTGTGTAATAAGCCCCCCCCCCCCGTCTGGTCGGTAAGCCGAGGGCCGAGACACACGACACCGACATCCCACCCTGTGACACAAGGACACGGCGCTGTGTTCTCTGATTGCGAAAGCATCATTTTCAGTTATTTCACTTAAAGCATATAGTTAATTGTAATTTTGAAAATGATTTCAGCGTAACAGGTGTAACATCTTGCACACGGGAAGCACTTACTCTGTAAGTTAATGAATTGTATCTTTCTTTGAGCCCTTATTCTGTCTGTCTGCGGCATTAGCAGTTGGGGTTTATTTAAAGTCGGTGGTATGTGGGCTGCTGCCACAGTTTCTCGTTTTACAAGTTTCACTCGCCGCCGATGAACATAAAAAGCTCTTGCAGGCAGTTCCACGAACTGCCGCCCATCTCACCATTTTGCAAGCAATTTCTTTTGTGTGTGCCCTGTGGCAGTTGATATGTGGTTTTGAGAGTTATTGAATACATGGATTTAAAAAAAGCGAATGCGGTTAATGTGAGCCGAATATGTTTTTGGAGTTAATGAATAAAAATGCGGCACGAGGGCCCCCGTGCTGCGGGAAGTCGGCCGCGTGACTCGCATCGGCGCACGGGGATTGTGTGAATGCACACCGACGCTGTGCTCTGGGTTGATTATGTGTCGTGCGAGTGAGTGTGGAAGCCCGCCGAGGTGAAGGTCAGTCTGATGAGCTCAGTGAGAAAACATCCATCCATTTCACTAAGAATGTGCTCCTTTGGAAGCATCATGTTATTGTACTGGTGGTCAGAGAAGTAGAGATCTCCAAGGACACTTAAAACGTAGGCTGATGTATAAAGAGTTAAGCCATGGTAACTAGTGTTTTCCAGTGCGCATTTAGTTATGAATGTTTTTTTGGTTTGTTTTCAGCACCTCCTGTTACCTACATACTTTGTAGCTTCTGTAATTTGTCACCGCTGTCAGACTCATACTGGCTCCATTGTTAAACTGTTAAGCTCGTTCTTAAGGCTGGCAGAAAATGGTTTTATAGGTGAGCATAAAAGCCCTGTGGGACAGAGGGAGGAGGCAGGGGGGGGTGGGGGTGCATGATGGTGGTGTAGTTTGTCTGCCGAGAGCTTCACCAGGGCAATGCAGCAGGCGAGGAGGGCAGGAAAGTCAGCTCCAGCCGGTGTCCATATGCTCTGCTGAATGGCCGACCTGCAGTGAACCAGCACCTCAAGGTCATCGTAAGTGTTCTGCTGTATCTTGGACCCCAGATGCAGATCATAAATGCAGGAATATAGGCATTAGCCCAGCTGACAGTGTGTTTGTTTTGGGGGGGGGGGCGCTGCTGCTGCTCCGGCCTCATAATGAAAGTTGCACCATGTTGGTGATTCAAGCTGTGCTGCTCACCGTCATGATACCGGGTGCGGCTCCTGTATGGATGTCCATCCCGTAACCTCTGACTGGCTCCATATAAATGATTGATGGGCTGCCCTGTTCCTGTACTCTCTCTCCTTGGGTGGATGGCCCTCCGCCATGCCGGAGCCTGCCCCATAACACAGCACAGGTTCAGTCTGGTCTATTTTTGAGCCTTTATTAGAGCTCTAACCAGCTTGTCGCCAGAGCCGGCAGCTCCAGTGGCCTCACCCTGGCCTGCAGCGGTGTCGGTGCTGGGCGGGCTGCCACGTGCCAGTGAACTTGCAGCTTGTTTGTTTGCTTTGTCTTCTAAAGGAACACACCTTGCAGCCTTGTAACAAGCAGCAGATAATCTGTCAGGACTTTCCACCCTTTTCCAGCAGTCGAAATAGGAGCCTTTCCCAAGGTGTCCTTCCTGGATCGCTTGTAATATCTCTTGACCTGGAGGCTTCTGGCGCAAACTCTTGGGTGACGTTGATAATCATTTGCTATAATCATGCGTGCCAGTGGGGCAGTGCCAGTGTGGCTGGTCTTCAGTGCCAATAAAGAGCCTGCCTTCTGTTTCACTGGCCGGTGTCCCTCATGCCGACGCACGTCCTCTGCGTCACTGCAAGGATACTGTAGTCGTCTGTGGCCTTTGGGGGTTGGGGGCTTTTTGTTCTTTTGATTAAATTTGCTGAAGTGAAACGTTTCATTCCTCCTGGGTATTCATGACACGTGACACATTAGGGCAGTGATTGGACAAATGAGACTACAGACCCCCTGGGTTGGATGGTCATGCATTTTTAATCATCATCTGGTTTATCCCCAGATTGATGTTCATATCCAGGCACTACCAGAGATATACAAGTAGTCAGAGCAGTGCTGCAGGAAGGCTATTTAAAAAGTGGTTGTCTTGTTTCTTGGTTTAAAGCGGTGTTTCCCAGTCCGGTCCTCGGGGACCCGCAGACAGTCCACATTTTTGCTCCCTCACAGCTCAGAATTGAGCTTGGAGGGAGCAAAAATCTGGACCGACTGTGGGGTCCTTGAGGACCGTATTGGGAAATGCTGATTTAAAGAGATCATGCGAGTGTAGCTTTGTTCACTATGGCATACCTAGTCACCTGTTATAGACCTTTTGTTTTGACTCTTGAGATACCAGGAGCTTAGACCTTGTTGGATCCTAGCAACTGTTTTCCGGACCTGATTTTTCCATTCCTTGAGTCAAATGTGCACATGAGTCCAAACGGCTGTCGGTTAAACTTGCACCCATTAAAATCCCAGCTCCTGTCACCGTGTCACATCCCTCTGATAGGGATGTGACATCATGTACATGTCATTATGATGTGTATATGTTATGTGGGAGTAGGTTAAAGGACAAGTGATTCTCATTTCCTGTCTGTTTCTTCCTGCTTCCTGTATAGGGGGCTTTGCCATCGTGTTCCTGGTTCATACTCACCAGGGCCTCCGCTGTGCCCTCAAGCGCATGTATGTCAACAACGAGCACGACCTGCAGGTGTGCCAGCGGGAGATTCAGATCATGGTGAGTGTTTCTCTTCCCTGTTTCTCTTTCCCTTTTTCTGAGGGATTTTTCTCAGGGATCTTTTTCTACTGCATTAGATTTTGTTATGGGTGCTAAGAAATGGGTGCCATGTTTTTCACGTAAAATAAACCTGTCAAAAGAGCCTTTTATGTCCCCCCCACCCCATAAGTTGTTCAGCCCCTCCCCCCAAAGCAGTACCTTTGGCCTCACACTGGAGTCCTGCATTGCATGTGGTCCCCATTAGATAATCTTTACTTCCTGTGTTTGTCCATGCACACAGAGGGACCTGGTAGGCCACAAGAACATCGTGGGATTCCTAGACTCCAGCATCACGGCAGTAGGAGCAGGAGATGTGTGGGAAGTCCTTATTCTCATGGACTTCTGTCGCGGTGAGTCTAGCCAGTTGATTTGCCTGTTGGGCTGTTTTTGGAGATGCATTCTGACTCTACTCACCCTAATGCTCGTTATGCTCAGGTTTATGTATGTTGTCTCTGTTGCTATCGGCAAAAGATTAATTATGTGTGTGTTTTTTGTATGCATGTGTTGGTGTTTGTGTGTGGAATTCCCAATCTGGTGCTCGGGGGACCTAGAGATAGTCCCCAGGAGGGAGCAAAACTGTGGACTGTTTGGCAGGGAGAACAGAGGGAGCAAAAATGCCTGTGGGTCCCGGATTGGGAAACACTGCTCTACTCCAAGGACTTAACCAGCACACAGAAATAGTCTTAATCTGAAGAAAGACTAAATAAGTTGTACTTTATAACTCAACAGTCTGTCTTCTCTGTTTTGATGTTTGTTCCCCCTTTCTGTCAATCAAAGCAGAAAATTGGAAGGCAAAAATAAACTGGTTTAATATTAACATATGACACGCATTAAAGAGAATGAACTTGCTTTAGCTTGCTAGTTTGGAAAAATGTAGGTAAATTAATATATAGCACAATAAACAGTAGGCGATTTTCAAAGGCAGGCTTTTTTGACAGTATACTGTACAAAATGACAGACATCTTAATATATCCCATCTTTATAGATGAGACAATCATTTTCATTATTAGCTATCAGAATATTATACAAAACAATATAAATATTAATATATTATATTCCTAGTGGAGACTCTCCAGCCTGGGGGGGTGTGTACTGTCTGCTGTTTTGTGTCTCACTCACGGTGAGTCTGGGCAGAGCTTTTTCCAGAAGGGACTCGGTGTCCCAGTAAATTAGTTCCACTTCAGCATCAGGAGGCTGCATCTTTCCTGAGTGGCGCGCCATGTCCCCTGCTCTGTCTGAATAAGCGTGACTTTTCCCTTTGCATCATGGGTATTGTGGACCATCTGGATTGTTATAATTCTGGGTAAAGATGTGTAATGTTGGGATAATATTAGCGTGGCTTTGCTGAGTGGGATACTCTGCTGTGAGGGATCCTGCCGGAGCTTCTGTGTGTTTACAGTGATCCTGGTGTGTCTGCAGCATCCCCTTTTAGGGCACCAAGTCAGCAGCTGCTCTCCAGTTTTATGGATAAAACATAATAGTTATGTTTCACCTCCACCTGATCAAGCCAGCGATGAGCTCGATTTATTGATTTGTTTACTCAGGCTGCCCCGAGGTGATTTATAGCAGAGTTTTGGAATTGCTGAGGCCGATGTTTGGCTGGGATAAATATGCCTTACTGCTGAACCGAGAGTGTTTGCTAGCAGGGGGATCCATTTACACTATTGGGATGCACTGCTCCGTAAATCCCCGACCTCAGGGAGCGAGAGTGAGAGCTGGGTGTCTGCCTTGGGGGGGTGGGATTGTGGATTGAGTAGATGCTGTTACTTGGGTAATGTTTCTGGCCTTGGCCTGCTCTAATGAGGTGTGTGTGCGCGCCTGTGCCTGTTTTTGTGTAAATGTGTGTGTTTACATGTGTTTGTGTGTGTATGCGTGGGCGCATGCATGCGTTTGCTGCCTGTAGGTGGCCAGGTGGTGAACCTGATGAACCAGCGGCTGCAGACGGGCTTCACCGAGGCTGAGGTGCTGCAGATCTTCTGCGACACATGCGAGGCAGTGGCCCGGCTGCACCAGTGCAAGATGCCCATCATCCACCGTGACCTTAAGGTGCCGTCCTCATTCTCTGATGCTGCTTGGTGTTTGAGGCCTGTTTGTTAGGGCCTCACTGGTATCTGATAGCTGTTCTGGGTGATGCCTGACTGAAATCTGCCAGGACCTTGTCCTCTCAGAGACCCCCCCCCCTTCCCATTTCACCTGCTCTTCCGTGCGGTGCCGCCTCTGAATCGCGTGGTCTCTCTAGACGCCCCCCCCCGGGGAATCTTAGAATCTTAGAAAGGAGCCGTAAACCACTTCTAGAGTGGATCACCAGCTGGATGCGTGCCAGGGTTGGGGAGGGGGGCGAGGACCAAGGTGACCTGCCTTTGCTCACTTTCCCACCCCCCATCTACCCAGGTGGAGAACATCCTGCTGCACGACCGCGGTCATTATGTGCTGTGTGACTTTGGCAGTGCCACCAACCGCTTCCAGAACCCGCAGACTGAGGGCGTCCCTGTGGTGGAGGAGGACATTAAGAAGTGAGTTTTTTCACGACCCCCCCCCCCCCGACCGACAGTACGTGTGTCAACCGCACATGACGCTCCCTTTGTCTTAGGTACACCACACTCTCATATCGCTCCCCCGAGATGGTCAACCTCTACAGCGGCAAGGTGATCACCACCAAAGCAGACGTCTGGGTAAGGTCACTGCAGGGTCACCACCGCGTCCTGATACTTCGCGCGAGAATGTGGCATTTTGGTGATCCTCAACTTCTGCCGCTCCCTAGAAGGATGTTGTTAGGCTTTTATTTATTGGTGAGCATGTGCACCAGCAGTGTTCCTGGGATTTCCAAATCTATTCAATTCCTGAGCACCATGGTTTAAAAGTGATCCTGGAGAGGAATGAGTTTACACGAGGGTGGCTGAAAGTACTGATTTTGGCAGCCGAATTGGGCAGTTCAGAGGGGTCAAGCGCACGGAATGACGTGGGGTTTTAGCGGCGAGGCTCACGGCCATGTCTCCCCCACCCCCACCCCCCCCGCCCCCGCCCCACCCTGTAGGCCATGGGCTGCCTGCTGTACAAGCTCTGCTACTTCACACTGCCCTTCGGAGAGAGCCAGGTGGCCATCTGTGACGGCAGCTTCACCATCCCCGACAACTCCCGCTACTCCCAGGACATGCACTGCCTCATCCGTGCGTACCCTCTCCCATTCTTAAACACCTCTCTTAATACAAAGCTGTCAGCAGTGGAAGAATTCGCCGGAATGGTGTTTGACCTCCGTCTGTGGCGTCGTTGTGTCGTATTGCACATTATTGTTCTTCTGTGCTTCAGCAATATTTATTTTACTGTCCTGTTCTCTGTTTATATCCTTATCCTCACTGCACATATTTACTACTCACTATTATTGTTTATTCTTATATTGCACTTTTTTTTATCTTGTATTGCACTACTGCTTGTATTAGACTGTTGTGTCTTGTCTTGCCCAAGTGTTTGCACCTGTCCCCTACCGTGCAACTGGGGCATAAGACCGTGTAATGAGTTTTTTTTCCAAGCTTGTCCCCTATGCATCCTGTTTTGTATGTGTACAGTACTACTCCCCATTAAGTGTGTCATTACGAGCTCTGGTGTGATTCTGTGTGCCCCCCTATTGCTTTCACTCTCTTGTGCGCCTTATGCTAAGTGTGCATGTGTCACTGTCCTCCTCCAGATCGCAGGTGCGGTTAGTCACCCCAGACTTCGCGATCTGAAGTTCGGCCTTATCAAGCACTCTGCTTTAGCATTGATTTTTTCTTTTTTTTCTTTCCCGTTTTCCCATCGTCCGAAACGTGCCCCCTGGTCCTGCAGGGTACATGCTGGAGCCAGACCCCGACAGGAGACCGGACATCTACCAGTTGTCCTACTTCGCTTTCAAGCTCGCCCGGAGGGACTGCCCCGTCCAGAACGTGCACGTGAGTCCCGGTGATCCGTAAACGGCAGCCTGTCGCCTCACACCGCCGGAAGGTGTAATAACTGAACCCCCCGCCGCTGTGCATTATGGGTTTAGGCCTTGGGTGCCTCCCTGCTGGAGCCAGTAATCGGGGCCTGTAAGTGGAGTTTGTTCTACTCCATTTTTTTCCCACATGATGGTTTAAATCGCTGAGCGTATACGTGCTCCGTCTTACTAAACACCACAGCGAGGGCAGTGTAGTGCGCCGTACTGGGCACTCTGGCCCCCAGTGCTCTTTGTATGGGGGACGGGGAGTGTTTAAACAGCTGCTTAAGAGTTTACAGTAAATTTTTATAATTTTTTCACCCTTACCTCTATCTTCCTTGTCTTAGAATGTTCCCATTCCAGCGAAGCTTCCTGAGCCAATCAGAGCAAGCGAAGCTGTAGCCAAGAAGAGCCAGACCAAAGCCCGGTGAGCACGTGGGGGGTTTTCTGGAAACTCGAAAATGCATTTATACCTGTGTGTCATTACTAAGCTCCCGTTAAGCACAGCTCTGCCTTTTTGGGGGGTTGATCTGAAACGTGGCCAAGAGCCCCAGCCCATTTTTCCTGCCCCCCTCAGGCTGACGGACCCCATCCCGACCACGGAGACGTCCATCGCCCCCCGGCAGCGCCCCAAAGGGGGCCAGGCCCAGCCCATTGCCGGGATCCTGCCTATCCAGCCCGCCCTCACTCCCCGAAAGAGGCCCACGGGTGCCCCCGCGGCTGCCCCGCCCGTTGGTACATGCCCTCCCCTCATCTAACTAATGCTTCTCATGTAGCAGCGTGTTTATCATCCAGATCATCGCCGACCATGAGGTGCTCTGAGCTTGCAGCCCTCACTGCTGATGCACCTTTGTACGTACGGATCTCAGGGTGATCTTAGCTATGGAAGTTCGGTGCTTTACTCGGCAAAAGCACATGCGTGTAAGCGGAAGAGTTCAGCCTACTTAGCCTCCAGTGTCCTGAATTAACGAGCTGGTGAAGCCCTCCAAAACAGCGGGCACATACCTGCTAATCTGGACAGAGACATGGATACCGGCCAGTTGGTGCTCGGAGGCCTGCTGATGCATCCTCCCGCTGTAAATGTGCAGCCCGTGATTTCCATCCGCCTTCTCTCCCTAATGCAGTCTGTAATCCCACGGCGCCACAGTAGATTGTGCTGAAAGGCCTCTGCATGCTGGGTTGTTCTTGGCGCGTCTCGTGTGAAAGTGCAGCTTGCCTCGGCTTTCCTTTTGTGGGTGTCCTGGGCTGCTGGGATTCCTGCCTGCAGAAGGATTTTAGCCGTGGGTGTTTTTGATAACAGTTAGACGCGAACAAATAGTTTCTTCTTCCCTGCTAATAGTGCCGTGCCGTTCTCTTACTTTTAAAACGGTCCACAGCAGTCGGTCTCGGCGCTGGGCCCCCGGCCTCGGCCATGCAGCCGCAGAAGGCGACGCTGCCCCCCCTGGCTCAGCAGCAGGCCCCGCCCACACAACCCCCGGCCCCTGCGGCCCAGGCTCAGGCCACGCCCTCTCACCAGCAGCTCCGCATGAAGCAGCAGCAGGTGGCCGCCTACTTCAGCACTGTCCCACAGCAGCAGGAGGCTTCACAGCAGGTGAGCTCGAACCCGTCACCGGCGCACGCAGACCAATTATCATTTGCCTTCAGCTGTGCTGTGAGTAGGCCTGCAGTGCTGGGTCGGGTTGGTGGGACCGCTGGGTTCTCTCATCGCCACAGCCGCTTTCAGGGGGGGTACCCTGATTGGAGAAAACTTTGATAAAGGGCTTACATATATATATTTTAAAATACTGAATTATTAGGTTTTCTTAGCTTCATGCTAAGCACCTTTTGAATGGTTGGGAGTAAGAGAAGATAGCAGTATATGTATGCCGATCTGAGCGTTAGATCACATCTGGTCATGATTTATTTGGTGGCACATGAACTGGTCTATTGATGCAAAGCACATGAGGCACTTGATGAATGTAGCAGGACATCTGCTATTTAGTGTGGATCATGGTCTTCACCTGCACACTAATGTCTAAAAAAGCATTTCAGTGTAATGGTATAGAGCAGTATTTCTCAACCTGCACCTCGGAGATTCCTAGATGGTACAAATTTTTGCTCCAGTGTGGGAGTTGGGAGGGAGTAAAAACATGGACTGTCTGGGGTCCCTGAGGACCGGGTTGAGAGACACTGCTCTACTGACCTTCAGCATTTTACAGTGGGGGGTGGGTGGAGCCATCTAGGATGAGTGGCAGCTGATCGGCTCCATCACGGCCAATCAGTGTGTGTGTTCAGTTTATTTGTGTTGAGTGCTGAGAGGTGCTCTCTCCGTCCTCGGGGTCGCCTGTACGTTCGCGGTAGTCCTCATCTGGAAGGATAAAGGGGGGGCATGTCGTATTTAACAGGTGGATTCCTATCATTTTGGGGGCATTCAGTTTTATCACAGCATCCATAAAATGTAACTCAAAGTTCGTTCATTGATTATTGGAAAGTCAATGGCACACGGGGAGATGCTGTGAATAGGGCTGTACCATCATATGCTGTCAGATAAAGGTACCTCAGTCACATGCTGACTCTCTGACTACAAATAGAGACAAAGCCAGAGTAATGTATCTGCGCATAAACAGTAGGCTCTATGTGTAAAATACTCTGGGCGGACATGCAGACGGGGCCATGTGACTCCAAGGCAGGAAAATTGACTTGCTCTGAGGACAAACAAAGGCAGCGGGTAGGAACCAAAATAAAACGGTTGGCATAAGCAGAAGCCCTCAGGAAAATGTGGCATCAGGCCGCGGAAAAGGCTCCAGCGGGGCTCAGGAATGTGGCTCCGGCTGCGATTCCCCGCCCTGAGACAAAGCGGAGCTCCATTTTATATAATGAGTCTCTGTAGGGCCGTGCTGATGTGAATGACTCTGCTCATCAGTTAGCATGCCTGGCCCATCTCATGCTCAGGAATGCACATGTAAAGAGCTCAAACTTAAAGACTGCTAATGTTTAGCTACCTGGCATGAAATATGCAAAGCTGGTGTGCAAATTAACTTGCTAATTGTATTGTTTGATGGAACAACGTACCAGTTGTGATCAATCTGTCCAACAAATTAGTAGTATAACGGACAGTCGATTGGTGTTTCATGCTGCCCACTGTCACTGCAGCTGCTTACAGTGACTGTTTATCCTGTAAGTGTTATCGATAGATCGTCCTGTCCGCTTCTCTCTCCTTCCTGCTGTGCTTTTCCTACTTGCTGACTTCGAGCTCTGTGACAAATGGTCAACCTTCCATTTATTTTTAATATGCTGATGGTTTGTGAACAACTTGATAAAATTTGGCTTGGGGGTGTGTGTGTGTTTTTCTCTTAAATTGCAGCTTTGCTTGTGAGTTTTGTGTGTACCCGGTTTGTGATCAGTAACTGTGTTTGCTTTTAGATATTCTCCGGTGCAGAATATCGAACATTAGCAATTCTGCTATATTCTTGCTGGCACATGAAAGGGAGAGCTGGGGATTGGTCGATTTCCCAGCCAATCAGATAGCTCGGGTTGCATCCCGTGTCCATAATTGGCATAGAGTTGTGAATAATGGGCAGGCAGCCTTTATTAGTAAAATGAGCCTCCAGGACAGGATGCTGACGCAGTTTGGGTAACTCGACTCCCCCGGTTGCAGCTGCACACTGATCATCGATAACTGTGAGGCCGCCCTACCTGGGCCAGCTGCTGCTTGGCCTTGATGCAGATGGAACAGATGAATGGCTGAGAGAGCGATGGGGGCTGGCTCTGTTCCATTGGGGAAAACAAAGTCCTTTGATGAGGTTCAGATATGTGGGTTTCCTGTTCATATTGATGCCTGTCTCTGTGCGCCAAAAGCACCAGGCCGCTCCTCTGCTGCCAATCCCTACAGACCGTGGAACTGTGCAATGCTGCTTTTCCCAAACGTCTCCCTGTCCCATGTACCCGGTAAGCCGTATGGAGAGCTGGAGCGTCCTTTCCGATTCTACATCATTCATGAGCAATAGAAGCAGTGTGGGACGTTACCTTATGGGCCTGTGTGAAAGTCGGAGAGGTGCTCATGGGCTGTGCACCTCCTTTTACGGGGCACCAAGGGCAGGGTCAGCCCCCTTCTCAGTGCCAGCCGTGTTTCCCTGCAGCACACCTGGGGCAGACGGCCTCTTGTCCTGTGTCGTCACTGGAAAGCAGCATGGCTGCCTTGGCTGTTTGCTGGGTACACAACAGCTTGAGTAGAAAGCTGTGGCAACAAAATTCGTGGTGGGATTAAATTACAAGGCTTGTTATCTTGAACAAAAAGTTTTTAGATACCCAGGAAGTTGATATGGTTAGCCTGGAAACCCATGCTTCTGGCCCTTTGTTTTCAGGGTGGGTACATTTCGCGATAACTGCTGTAATCGACTCATGCCGCCTCTGACTGTCTATATAATGCTCATCATCTGCTTTGCCTCTTTGAACTGGTGCTTGGGACTTCCTGTAATCTTGATCTCGGCTTCCTGTAATCTTGATCTCGGCTTCCTGTAATCTTGATCTCGGCTTCCTGTAATCTTCATCTCGGCTTCCTGTAATCTCGATGTTGTATTTTTCCCCCCTCACTTTGTTTAGTGTGTTTCCTGCAAATTTTTTTTTTTTGCTCTGCTGTTTTAATCCGTTTTAATTTCTTAACTTCATCAACGTCACCTTCAGTTTGCGCCCAGTTTGTCTTTTTATCTCCTTCCCCTTGTGGCGACCTTGTTGCTTCTCTCTGATTGGCCAGCCCGTCACCCCTACCCGCGGCATCCACAAGGTGGGCTCCCTGACGCCGCCCTCTTCCCCGAAGGCTTCGGCCCGGGGGGGCCACCGGCGCATCCTCAGCGACGTCACCCACAGCGCCGTGTTCGGCGTTCCCGCCAGCCAGTCCACCCAGCTGCTGCAGGCCGCGGCTGCCGAGGCCAGCCTCAACAAATCCAAGTGAGCGGCAGACCTGCGTGGCCTCGGGTTCGAGGGAGAAAACCGAACACAGCTTCATGGTTTGATGGTGTTTTTGTGTGTCTTCGCGATTCCCAGGTCAGCTAGCACGACGCCGTCGGGCTCCCCGTGCTCTTCCCAACAAAGCGTGTACCAGCCTGCTGAGACCAGTGCCCCAGTAGCCTCCACGGCGCCCCCAACTGTTCGCAACTCTGCGGAGCAGCCAGCCTGGAATCCCTTCGGCGACGATAACTTCTCCAAGCTGACCGCAGAGGAGCTGCTCAACAAGGACTTCGGCAGACTTGCCGAGAGTAAGCCCCCCCCCCCCCCCACGGGCAGTTCCTGGCTGCCTTTACAGTAGGGGCTTGAGCGATCGGCCATGATCTGCCTTCTAATTGGACTGATAATTGCCAGAGGAGCAGCATTAGCTGTGCGCTGCTGTCTGTCTGTATCGATTGGGTCAGTGGTGGCTAACTGGTGTGTCGGCACCTCCTAGCTGTGAGACTGCTGTGGTAATTGTCCTGCTTTTCTGCCCGTGTGACAGGCAAGGCAGCCGAGAGGGGCAGCGCCCCCGCAGGAGACCTCATTCCTGGGCTGTCGATGGCACCAGCCCCCAAGGCATTCACCCAGCCTGCAGGTAACACGCAAGACCCCCCCCCCCTCCTTCATCATGCCGTTTCTCCCATCAGTCCTCAGGTTTGCGACTCAGTAGTTACATAATATTCTTAAAGATTCACCATTTTATGTCTTAGACTTTTATCCATTTTTTTAAGTTCAGTGTCTCCCTTAGTAATACAAACGCGATTGTCCTCCTGCCGCTGGACATTAGGCTTGTGGTGTCTCGCCCGTTGCTCCTCGTGCCGCTGGACATTAGGCTTGTGGTGCCACGCCCCCCTTGAGTCCCGGCCTTCTGGGCGCAGGGACTCTCTGATTCCTCATCTTTCTGTTGCCCCACCCTCTTTCACTATTTGCTTTTTGTTACCCCCTGATTCAGCGTTTGCTTGACAGGTTTCCCCTATAAATGCATGTTCAGCCCGTCCGTGGTACAGTGAATAGTCCCATACTACATCTTTGAAGTCTCATGTATCAGTGTGTCCCAGAGTCTCCTAACAGGCAGGTTCTCAGCGTTGTGGTAGAACATTATCGCGATGCATCCTGTGTCCCATAACCTCACATGAGCTTCTGCATCTCCGTAGCCAGTCATTAATCCAGCTGGTAGAGCTGGAACAAAGTGCTTCTCTGAATCTTAGCTGTCTGATTTCTTTTTACTCCTCTCTCTCTCTCTCTCTCTCTCTCTCTCTGTCCATTCCTCACGCACCTGTCCCTGTCTCTCTTCCTGCTAAGCTGAGAGACCCTCTGATACTCTGTGTCTGGATTCGGGGTTGCCGCTCTTGACTGTCCCGGACCCATTCAACTCCCAGTCCCTTTCCGACACCCCAGGTAACAGCCACACCCCGACTTGCCTTTTCGCTTATACCTTTGTGGTTCCCAGGCCCGAGTGGCTGAGAGCTTAGCCCCGGAGCTCTCTGTGGTCTGGGGTATGTAGCTGGGTGGTTCCTGCTAGCGGTTTTTAAGCATTGCTGCGTTTTCCTCCTCTGAACTGTCACCAGTGTGTGGGAAATGTGGTCTGTCCCAAGTTTCTTAGTGTCAGTCAAATCAGCTTGGTGTCTGTTGCTGTTCATTGCTTTGTTTTCAAGAAACATTGTTACTGACTGTTGCCCCTGGTAGGAATTTCATCCTGCTGTTCCATTAAGGCACAGGCGCATGCAGGGCCTATTGAGTGTCTTTCTGTTTGTCTCATGCTCGCACTCTCTCGCTCTTTGTGGGGTGGGTGTGTGTGTGTGTGTGTGTGTGTGTTGCTGTTTGTTCAGGTTGCAAAGGCAGGGAATTTTCCCATGTTTTAGAATTCACTGAAAATTCTAAATTTAGAATCTGAGTATCGTGGCACCTCTTTAATCTCACATGTGGCACTTTATGATGATGTAATCTGCCAACTACAGGTGAATGTTTCAGTGTAAGTGGAGGAGACCCACAAAGCACTTAGGCACACAGTAAGCATCTCTTATTTCACATGGGGTTTCGAGCCTTTATGAAGGGACGTGATCTCCAGGGACCATGGACACTCCCATGGAGTGGATCCTGTCTGATAAAGGTGTTGGGTGTGCCCCAGTTGCATACAGATCCTGTGTACTGGAGGGAGAGAGTCATTCTTATTTTAGAAAGAGAAATCGGTACAGCCCCGAATATCGCATCACACTAATTCACGGAGGGGCCTCCGGCTGACAAACACCAAGGAACGGGAAGTGGCAGCAGTTAGAGGCTATCAGAGATGAGTCAACACAGCTTGAAAGACTGATTGTACATGGGATGACGCGCTGCTTTATCTTGATGAGACATGGTTTGGAGCCCATGCCTAAGGAATGATCTCCTTTGGGATTTCTTATTAATGCTCAACCCAATGGAATCCTGGAACAATGCTGCCAGTGGCTCTCAGTCTCCATGTTTGAGGCCGGGTGGTGCACTGAGGAGTTATGTAACCGTGGGCATGTCTGCAGCCTTCTGAGTGTTTGATTTAAGGAGGCATGTTCTCCTGGTGGTATGGGGTGGGGGGTGGATTCTAGCTACTCCAGTTTCTCCCCCAAAGTCCGAAGACGTGCAGTTTGATGAATTGATGTCCAGCACTGGACTTGCGTGGGGTCTGGAGTGTCCTCAGCCTTGAGCTCTATGCTGCTTGGGATAGCCCCCCACCCCCAATCCCCCCCACGTGATGCTCTATTGAATAAGAAATTGGGTGATAGATGGATGGTCTGCACCACGATGTTGAATTGAAGGGGCATTAAGATGATGATTCAGACGTCCTTTAGTTATGGATTTGCACCTAATGGTTTTGCCCGACACGTTGCTGTGATGTTTGCCGCCTCCTCAGTGGGGACATCGTATGGTCCTAAAGGGGGTGACCTTTGAACTTTCTCCCCCAGTGAAAGGGGCGAGGGAGCACCTGTGCTGTGCCATGTTCTGAGATCCCCGCCAGCTCCCAATTAGCCCTGAGCCCAGTCAGCCGCCCAAACTGTAAGTATAGAGAAGCGAGATGGCTGAGAAGATGCCCCTACGCATGTACGCATGCCCGTTGGCCAGCCTCCACACCCACGGGCGGCACTAACTGATGTGCTGTGAGCAAACACTTCCCTCCGGTCCAGCCGCTTGTTTGCTGGGTGGTGCCGACCTTCCCTCTATCCGCACGAACTGATGGAGTTCATCAGCATTGCATGTGCCAGGGTTGGGGGGCCTAAACAGAGGGCCCCCAGTTACTCTGCGTGCTGGCGTTTAACCCCTGGCATGCTGGGCTCCATTCCCTGTCTGTGATGCCCCGTGATCTCTGAAACTAACGCCCTGCGACCAAAGCTCTTCAGGAGGGTATAGTTGCCACGTACAAGACTAACTGTAAAAGAAGTGTAATTTGCATCCTGTCTGGCAGAACTAACCTAGATTATAATAACAAAGTAAAACGGCTGGTTCCTTCGTTTAGCAAGATGTTGCTTTCTTCTCTGGTTTGTTATGTATGTCACTGCCAGTCACTTGACTTGAAAAGTTATTGATTTTGTGGGAAACCTGCAGTACCTGGCAAAGGTAGCATGTTATTGCCAACTTACAGCAGTAATATAGTTAAGTGTATTTTCAACACAGGGGAATTAGTGACCCGGACCTTCAGCTTGAGCGTTTCCCTGTTCTACATGCATGCAGTGCTAGTTTGTAACCAGTAGAGGGCGTTCTTTTGAATGCACGCCATCTCATCATCCTGTGGGATGTACATGGTGTCAACGCAGTGATGTCTCCTGTACAGACTGACATATAAACACATGGTGAACTTAAGGTCTAAATGCTCTTATTCTGTTTCACTGTTGATGGTGTGCTGCTGGATGAACAGTAATATTCTTTGCATGGATACTTGTATTTTATGATTTCCTTTTTTTTCCCTCCTAAGCTGAAACCTTACTGAATTTCTCACAGAATGAAGCGAGAGCCCCCAAGTCGATCATTGCTTTGTTTGAATATCGCCTCTTTCCAGTCTCCTTTCTGCAAAAACACGTGCTTTCCGCTATAAATGAACGGCTAGCTGCCCCCTCCCCCCCTTCATTCTGCAGCCTGCTCCTCACAGTCACACCTGACCACCTTGCCGGCTCTGCTACTGATCGCTCTCCCTCTTTTGCCCCCTTGTCATTGTCATTCACCCCTCCTCTCCGTCACACCCTCCCTCCCATGCTTCTCTCTCCCCCTCCCTCTCTGGCCGCCTCACAGAGAAGCTGATAGAGGGCCTGAGGTCCCCCGACGCATCTCTCCTGCTCCCTGACCTTTTACCCCTGACTGACCCTTTCGGCACTCCTGCAGAGGGCCCCGGTAACGGTAATGGGCACCTTCCCAGCCCCCACGCCGTCTGCCCCCTCTGTGCCCCCACCCCCAGCTGCCACTGCACTACTCTCGGCGTGCTGGACTTATGGTCGTCCATCATGCTGCCACTCTCTCTTGTGATCATTCTGTTTCTCGACAGGTTGTTAGCCTGACTGTGTTGTATGTCTCCAATCACTTCCCTTCATTTTCGACTAGGCATGACTATAACCACCCCCCCCAGACCATGCTAGTTAAGCCTCTTAGGTCTATAGGCATCCTTCCTATTTCTGAAATTCAAATCTGAGGTGATGGACTAAGATCATCGGCGAGCCCCGCCGTCACATCCCCATGTGACCTCTGAAGCTGAACATGTGACCTCTGAAGCTGAACATGTGACCTCTGAAGCTGAACATGTGACCTCTGAAGCTGAATTATCTCTTTCCCGCTTCACATGGCACTTCACTCTGCCAGCCCACCCCCATCCCTCCCACCCTCACTCGTTTGCTTGCTGTCTCCCATTTTCCATTTCAGCGCCTCACAAATATCACTTTGCATAAATATTTACTGAACATCAAAATAGTTTATGAATGGCTATGAAGAACAAAAATTGCACACGTACACTATCAAAACAAAAGAAACAGTTTCAAATTTATAAACTGGGATCTTCAGTGAATAAAGTGATAAGCTCTTCCTGTTTTTCGGTAGCAGCATATTTCATCGCCAAACTGTGCCTGGGCTCCAACACATGATGAGGTCACCGGAGAGGAGCGTTTCCTTTACTTGCCGTCATGAGTCGTGCTCTTTTTCAGGCAAGCCGGACGTGTGCATGGACTCGTTGATCCCTGGTCTGGAGGCTCCCAGGCTGCAGCCGGAGCCTGCATCTGCAGCCCTGCCAGGTCAGTGCATCCCCTGTGCCAGCCCTGCCCATCCCTGGCCCTCAGCCGTCTGTCAGTCCACTGTCTGGCCCGTTTGCTTGGGGTCCCTTAGTTGCCTTTCTGGAGTCTTATGACATCAGAGCAGTGTCTCCCAATCCGGTCCTTGGGGACCCACAGCCAGCCCACGTTTCTGCTCCCGTCCAGCCTCCCCAAGGAGCCAGTATGTGGACTGTCTGTCTGGCAGGGAACATTGCATTAGAGGACTGATTAAGGTCTCGCTGGAGCTCTGGACGGGCAGCTCTAGCAGCCTGGGCTCCTTTTTCTGGAGCAACAGGCTTGGTGTGACATTGTGGCTTCGTCTACTTTTCGCTAGACCAGCGGTTTTATTTTTACCTCCATATTGAAGGCGCTCAGCTTCCCAGCCCATAGGCGACGCATGACTCGCACAGAGATACATTTTCAGTTTTCAATAAATATGGCAACAAGCTTAAACTTCTCTTAGGTCAGGGTTTCAGTTTTCAGTGTGTAATCCTACAGTAAAGGTTAGCAGATGCTGTTCCTGAGTTCTGAAGGTCAAATCCACGATCACCTGTGGTCTACCTACACCGGCTAATGCAGCCAAGCAAACTGCCGTCACGAGCAGCTGATCTTACTGCAGACAGACAATCTTCGCTTCCTGTGTTCCATGTGCTCTGATATTAAGTCGGCAAAAGGAGTTTTGCATATTGCTGGACCTCTCTCTGGGAATAACCCTTTTCAGGGGTGGAAGGGGCTTCCGTGGTGGCTGGGGAAACTCAACTCAAGTATAAAACAGCTAATGTATCATGAAATGGCTTCGTGTTTAGTTAAGGTTAAGGATAATTCTGACACTCTGGCCTGAAGGGTGAAGGATCAAGTCTGAGAGGGCACTACTTTTGTACCTTTGAATGGAGTTTAACTTGAATTTCTGCAGTTGAATGTGTCTGCATAAATGGGAAGAATATCGCTTTGTGGGGACGGCAATTATTATTGGTATCTCCATCGTCTTATTACCTTGTTTTCTGATTGAACCTCATTCCTTCACCTCTCCACACTCACCTCCTTTGTTCCAGACTCTCTGGCTGGTGAAGATGCTCATTTGGGCAGCTTGCTGTCCCACTCTTCCAACACGGGACTCCCTCCTGCCTCCACACCCCCTTCTGGCTCTGCCTCCTGTCTGGATGAATTTGCCCCCACATCCCATGGTGTCAGCCAGCCCCTTGCGGGTAAAGAACCCCCCCACCCCACCCCCACTATTTGCATTAGGCTTCTTCTCCATCCAACCAAGACCTTCTCTCCGAGTCAATCTGCTGTGACTCCCGTAACGCACGACGACATGCCTGCCTTTTGGTCCAGTGTTCAGTGCATGAGCTACTGGAGTATCGGCTAATATCTTGGTCATAGCCCAGAAGTAAACAGCAGCTTTGACGCCTTGGCTGTTTGTATCCCTACCCTGCATTAACACCCCTCCTGCCTCATGCCAGGCTTCCAGCGGCCCGAGTGTGTGGAGAAAAGCACCGAGGACGAGTTCGACCCCATCCCCGTGCTCATCTCCAAAACTTCCAACCAAGGTAAGGTTAGCAGTCAGGCATCAAGGTGGGGGCAGCCTGGAATCATGCGGCCCTGACCTCTGACCTTCCGCAGCCAGAGACTCCCCCCACCCCTTCCCTCAGCTGTGGGCCACTGCTTGGAGCTAGTAAGCGGGCGATTGGCGTGCTGCTGGGCCTCGGCTCCACCCTGCCAGGGGAGCGGGCGCCACAGCTCCGGCTCCGCAGTAGACGGGCCTCCTCATTTCCATTCTCATTCCCAGCATGCCCGCACTCTGCACTCTGCACACTACAGAACTGCACTTAACTTCCTGTCATCATATTTGGTTAATGCCCACTGTGCCACCTCAGGTCTGCTGTAGTAACTTAGTCTCCGTTTCCCAAAGAACTCTCCCTTAAATCTTCCGGGGGGGGTAACCCCTACTTATTTTCTTTCTCCCCTTTTTCTCATCCTACCCCCATCCTTTACTACTTTCTGACTGCTGCACTTCACCACCTCCTCCTTTGTCCTGTATCTATCCCTCCCTCCCTCTACCTTTCTTCCTCTCTCTCTCTCTCTCTCTCTCTCTTCCTCCTCCCCCCTTCTTTGGTACGTTTCAGGTGGTCATTCACGCAACAACAGCGGCAGCTCAGAGTCCAGCCTCCCCAGCCTGGCCCGCTCACTCCTACTGGTGGATCAGCTCATCGACCTGTAGAGGGGGGGGGGGATCAGGGAGGAAAAGCATTTGGCGAAATTGGGGTAGAAGTTGGTCATGTAAGAATTTTGCTGCAGTCCCTCCCCACCTCCCCAACCACTCACTCAATCCCTGAAATATTTGGCTGATTTCACTCTCTCTCTCCCTGATAATCACCTAACCATCATCCATAAGGACTGGTCCCCTGTCTCCCTCCATGTATCCCCATTCCTCCTTACACTCACATCACCCCAAACAGTCCAGCCCAGTGGGATCAGCCCAGTGGGATCAGCCTAGCCCTATTGCCGACGCGGCCTCACTGACGTTCCCTGTTGAGTTTAGCGCATTGTATGTTTTCGTTTCCTCCCGGTGGCATTTTTTTTAGCATCAGAAGTGCTTGAATGCTGTTGGTGTAGCACTGTAAATGGTGTAGCACTGTAAATGGTGTAGCACTGTAAATGGTGTAGCACTGTAAATGGTGTAGCACTGTAAATGCTCCCAGGGGTTTCTGTTCCAGTGTCGCTTAGCACTGCAAATGCACAGGAGCAGAATGACGCACGATGCTGTTGGGTTACTGCCGCGCCTCAGTCTTTTGTACCCTTGCGGTATTCGTAACGCGACTACCCCAACCCCGCCTTTTAGACACGGCCAGCTCGGAATGGCCTGATTAGCCGTAGCCGGCGTATCCCCTCCGAGCCCCGCATTGTTCCCTGTTTCACTTGTCCCTCATGGCCTCCTTCTGATCACCCTCCTGTAAATACTCGTGTCCGGGCAGCATGTGGTGCTTTCAGGCATCTTACCACTCCTACAAGGACGGGCGCTTTAGACCAGAGCGCTGGCAGAAAGGGAGGCTGCATCCTTGGCATATCAGCATGGTAGCTGCTTATTTGTGGGTGTTAAACAGGGACTGTAACTCGAGTTTGTGCAGTTAATAAATAGTAGGGAATAAATAGTCACTCCAAAACTCTGTGTGCTGTGTTAAATAGAAATGTAGCTAGGTTTGTTTTTCTTTTAGTGATTTAAAGAAATAGTCTGTGTGTGTGCTTTTCTGTCTAAACCCGGCAGGGCTTCTCCTGTAAATTTCCCCATAAGCACAAGGCGCATGCTGTACTAATGATAAATGAGAGCAGTATTGCCCAGTCCCGCATGCCCACACTGGGCCTCGCCTCATCCCCTCCATCATCATCAATGCCTTGCACTTGTCCGTGTTTGCCGTAGTCTGTTTGAGCTTTTGCTCATGCTGTTGGCAGAAACTTTCGGGGGATTCTAAGCAGTTTCCTTTAGGAAGAGTACAGGGGAGCAGCCAGTCAGGCTCATGGGCGTTTTACTTGCGCAAAATTGTTCTGAGGGCAGAATGAAAAATGATTGGTTCAGAGAGAGAACCAATAAGATTGTAGAGGAGGTGGGGCAAGCAACTACAGGAGGCAGGACCAAGACATCTTGATTGGTTTGTCCCGCCTCCTCTTGCTGGTTGGACCAACCTCCTCTATAATCTGATTGGTTACCTCTTGGAACCAATCTTTTTTTTGTTAAGCCCTTGGCAGCAGGCCTGGGGCCAGACTTTTAACCAATATGATGAAGGACCAGGGAGTTGGCATGGTGACTGGGAGGATCACATCGTTGGGCTTGGTGTGACCGCTGACTGTAGAATATCCTGGGGGGCACTTTCTTTTTTCTGATTTTCTTGTCCCGTTTCATTCATTCATTCCTTACAGACTGAAATGCCGCTTCATTCATACTGTCCATTGCTGTCCAAAGCCAGTGCGCAGTTACGCTCATTGTGCTCGTGTGTTTGACCTGAACAGTGTATATTGTTAAACTGCCATCAGACTGAAGTTTCTCACCATGTGATCACGTGCTCTATAGCCCCTGTGTGCAAAGCCGCTGATAGTGTAAGTGATTATAAGTGTTGAAAATATTACAAAAAACTTTATCATTGTAAGAATAAATGTGACTATAGAGTGCTATAGAATGAATATCATAAATATAAATTTAGAATATTCTCATTGCAGTTACACATATATATTATAGTTTAAAGAAGAATTCTTTATTTCTCTGTGTTCTTATCACAATTGTATTTGCAAGCGTGAAGTTCCAGTGTTCATTTTATTTCTTCTCATTTTGTTTCTCTGAAGATAACCGTTTATTCCTCATTGTCTGAGGAACACAGAGAGACACAGAAATGTGATTTTTTATGTTTTTAATGTCCCCGCCTTTGCTGCTGGGTGTGCTCTAAGTATATCTTATCTGGGATTGATGGGACAAGCTTGTTTTTCCCCAATAATTTAATAACATATTTAAGTATAAGAAAATAACATTAAGCCGTTTATCACTTCCAGCTTAGCCTGGAGTGCTGACTGTGTCAGTGGTTTGCAGATTGCAGATCTCGGGCTGCTTTCATGTGCGCCTGACTGCAGAGCTGCAGTTACGGTTCTTGCGGCCTCCGTCTGATGCCGCTGAATTTGGGGACGAAGGGGTGACCCGGTGACGAGGCCGAGGGCCTGGAGAGGGTTTGACAGGGGAACTGGTCAGCACACGGGGGGTGGGGGGTGCGGGGGTGTCGTTATACTGATGCTTCAAGGTTCAGATTATTTTTTTATTTCATTTGATTTTAATTACTCTGCTTGGGATGGGCGCAGGCAAGGCAACTTCTCCCCCGAATCTCTCATCTAGAATATCTTGGAATCGGAATGATGACAGAAACTTAAGTTTATAACCATCACATCCCAAATGAAGGACTGCTTTCATCGTCATATCTACACCCTTTACCTCCACAGCATGGAAGTATGAGAGAAACAGAGGCGCCATGCTGTGATCTTGAGGAAAGTGCGTAGATGTCAGACACCCATCGCACACGGTTCATTTCCCATTGCCATCGGCGTCGCTCTGGGCTTCCGCTCAGAGATTCCTCTGAGGCATTCCTGGGGGTGACGGCAGCTCTTCTGCTCTCGTGGCGCTCTCCCGTCCACCGAAGGAGTAACGAAGCCGTGTGTGGATTTTACACAGTAGCTCTGTTATTGCTTAGCGAGTCTTACTGTTCATAGGGATGATTTGCACGACTCCCAAATGCAACCCCACAGTTTAGTCACTGCCTGTGGGTCTAGGCCTTGCTAACATGATTAAAAGGGACCAGCAAATGAAAACACATTCAGGGCATTTACCCTCTTCCTTTGATACGTGGAGGGGATTCGAAGAGCTGCTGTTGCTGGGTTTGTTTATTGCCTGTAAGTTGCGGTGAACTTGCATAGTGGATCTTGCGGTCAGGCTCCAGGTCATTCTGTTATTGTGATGTATTTGTTTGGATTTACCTCCAGAGTTCAGTTGTGACTTGTTACATTTGGCTGTTGCTGTTCAGGATTTAGCAGATGCGTCTGTGAATTTGTATCAGGATAGTATGCAGTCTTTTTTTTTTTTTTTGTGTTCATTGTACAGCAACCCATTTCACATCTGTGTGGGTTTAAGGGTGGAAGATCCCCCACGAATGTGACAATTTGCAAATAATACTTGGGCCCATAAAAATGCAAAATTAATGGTGCTGAGGTTTTAAAAGTTAATACAAGAAATGCAGGATTGCACAGTCATGAGTGAAGCTGACGGCCGAGACAAAGATGCGTGGCGAACCCAAGCCAAGACGCATAGATTCCTGTTTTTTAATACCAAAAATAACTTGTAATATTAAAGATTTAATATGCACTTACACTAACACATATTAAACAACATTAGCATTTATATATTGTATGATCTTATGTAATCCAAATCATTTTCAGTATTTATAATTCTTTGGCTTGTGTGTCTTGTGAGTTTCTGCAATTTTTCGGCATGCTCGAAAATATTCCCGTTTAATTGCTCAAGGCCAACTCGCGATTGACTAAACCGCGAAATCAAATTCGCAAATCTGTAAGGGCGACTGTAATTGTGTATGTTCACCCTCGTGCTGTTTTTGTTGTATCAGTAAAACTGCAATTCAGATGTTCTTGTGGTCACGTCAATAAACTGAAGTTGTCTTCTTTGAAATCCAAAGTTTTAGTGAAATAGTATGACAATATAGACTTTCTTTCAGAGGTAGGTTCAGAAGTATGCAGTTGCCCCGCCCCCGATCCAGGGCTCATGACAGTAATTTCTTCCTGATCTCTCACTCTCTCTTTTTTCCCCCTTTGTTTCTCAGACTTAGGGCAGATAATTTATAGCTCCCCCCCCCCCTTCCCAAGTTCAGCCTTTTAAGCAGAGTGTCCTTTTGTCTAAATGAGTGAAAGATGTGTGTGTTCTGTGTACAGTGATTAAGTCATCATTTGTTCATTCATACCTGAAATAGCAGGCACATTTGAAGCACTATGATTGGGCGTATGGCAGTACACAAGTCGTTTGGACCTTCTCAGTCTAAGTGGAACAATTGATATTTCCAGCCTTCTTTATTTGCTCAGATTTGCATTTACGCACATAAGTTTGTTCTTATAGTATGGCTCTATATCAAAAAGCTCAGTAATTCAATTTTTTCGAAAATATTACGTTTCATTAATGTGGTAAAATTTGATTGGCTAGAATTTTGGGGAGAAGAAACTTACACCATTGACTGTAAAGCTGTTCATTTCCCCAGGATTTCTGATGTGTGTTCTGAAACCTGTCTATCCATTTTCTCAGTTTACCCTGTAGTAGAGTTGATTTATTTTCCCATGTAGCTAACCTATGCAATCAGAGCTTAACCCTATTCTTAGACACCACAGAGCTGTATTCATTGGAGGTCTAGCCTTGCCAGTAGTGTTTTACCTGTGTTGCTGTGCAAAACCCTCTGTACCCAATGTGTTTTTTGGATGGGTGGGGGGGGTGGGAACCTGAATATATGAAAGTGCAGCAAAAGTGACTTTGCAGCAATATCCATTTCTGGGCTGGAGTAGCTATATTTCGATGTTTACCTTCTATTTTTATGAAATGGAAAAATGAGAGGGGATTTAATTAAATAAATATGTGAATGTGATATAAGTGTACTGGGTTTTTTTTTTTGCTGGTTTTTAACTTTCAGTACAAACGTACAGTACACTCTCCTGAATCCATAGTCTTCTGGATCACATTGCTGTCTTGTTGTTTCTTCGGTTTAGTCTTTTATGGAATCTATGGAGTCATAATGGGCAGGAGTCAGACGTCACAAGACGGACTTGTTAACAATCTACACGATTGAAGCTAAATCCTGTGATTTTCAGTGATTTTGCATCTTATGTTCAGTTTTCTTTTCCTTTTGTTTCAGAAGCACAAGGTTTAAAAGTATCCCGAAAAGAGAAAAATAGCACTTGATAATGCAGACGGGTTTTATTCGCGGAAATTTCAGGCATTTGAGACGCCTGTATTCAGGCAGAAGTTTTCGTGGCGAATGACCCCCCAACGCCTGGTGTCTTGTGCCCCGAGCAGCCAGCTGCTCTTTCTGCAGCCACACTTGCTCCTGCAGCTGCTGCAGTTGTTTGGCCCCCAGTCAGGCCATCTGCCCCTTCACAGCTCCACAATATAATTAATGATCTCCGCAGTTCCTATGACTCATTTGGGTTCCCATATTCTGTGGCACTTTATAAGTTGCTGGACCCCCACAACAATACTCCTTGATTCCCACTTTGCATGCAGTTTGTTTCCTCACTCCAGCAAATATTAAAAACTGGTGAATATTATTCGTAATAAGTTCTATGGCTTACCGTGGCTAGCAGAGTCTTTCTTGTGCCACTGTGAAATTTTAGGAAAGCCGTTGCAGGGAAATGCTCATCTTTGCTGGGGTACTTTTTTTATTGCATTTATCACCATAAGCCTGAATAGAAAGACACACACACACACAATCTCTAGCTATCTCACCACCCCACACTGTGGTTGACTGTGGGCTCTGTCCTAGCGGGCTGCTACTAACCCTGCCTTCCTGGAGATGCTGGCTAACCTCTGCTCACATCACTGTCCAGGTAAGGTTGCCTCTGCCTCTCCTATGCTCTGCTCTGCTCTCACTCCCTCTCTCTCCTCCCTCCCACTGTGTTTGTCTCGCAGACTCTGAGGGGACCTGGACAGTCCCCTCAGTCTTCCTTGTTTCCACGAGGTCACCGCTCTAAAAATGAAGTCCACCTCTGTGTTTCGCCCATGCTTCAGTAGCCTGAATCGTTTTACACTCAGGAAAAGAAAAATCATAGAGCGTGATCTAGAAGACCTTTGGAAATGGTCATCCGTTCTGACTGATGATCTTCAGTCAGATTAATCCACATGAAAGCCGTCTTTGTAGAGCAGAAGGAAGTAATGGGTTATAGATGTGCTTAACTTTGTGGGAAACATACTGTGGACTGACAGAAGAAATGTGTGGAAACAAGGCTACTGGTCTGTTGTAGTTGTTTGAAGTGAGTAGCTCATTGTTGTAGTTATTGTACATAGTATGTGATTGTCTACAGAGCGTTGGCTAGTATACTTCTGTTGAAAGCTGGTATGGGATTGTGCATTTTCATACAAGTACTTTTCCTCCTTGTTTCATGAGAAATATGAATGGTGCTGTGTCACATGACCTGATGTGTTGTTGGTTGCTGAGAGGATTTGTTCCAGTGATTCCACTTGTGTGCTTTTTGAGGTTTGCCGTGGAATTTACATGGCATTTACAGTGTGCAGGGGGGTTGTGTGTTAAACTGCATTTAATCTGAATATTAAACCCTCTCACTCATCTCTTCTTTACTCCCCAGAACTCCAGAGGCAGACCAATGGCTATAGTGTGTTTTGTGAAGGAGGAAGTGAGGTGCCTGGAGATATTGACAGCATAGACCAGGGCTGTTTGCACTCAAGTGAGGAAGAGGATGATGAAGAGCAAGTCGATGAAGGTGTAGCTCTCGACTCCAGCGGCTCCAGGCCATTGCTACTAGATTCCGAGGAGGAAGAGGACCAAGTCCCGGAAGTCGAGCAGGAACCAGACCACCAGTTCTACCAGCCCTCTTTACTCCCCCAGCACCAGCAGCATTTCTCCCCTCACCTCTTGCCTCTCCAACCAGGCAGGAAGCATCACACTCCACCTAACGTCTTCTCAAACACCCCCTTTGGAACTGGACAGGAGGAGGGTAGTGACGTGTTTGCCAAAGCACCCTTCCCACGGCACCCTGTCCCAGCTCAGGAGCCAGACATCTTCCTACAGGCCCCTTTTGGCAGGAGGATGGAGACGGCCAGAGGCTTGCAGCAGCACTCCCAGCCGTGCGTACAGCACCCAGTACGTTCTGCTGTCCACCTCCCTGGTCATGAGCAAGCCTACCTGGGCCAAGCACCTTCTCACCCCATACATCCACAAGCCTTGGCCAAGTATTCCCGGCATTTCGAGGCCCCACTACCCCAGTCACTGATGGGGGTCCAACATCCATTGCCTTCTGGGGCCAGATTGGGTGCCATGGGGCCAAGCCCTGCAGGTCCTTTGCCCTCATGGACTACAGAGGCTGTTGCTGTGGATCCCTTTATTGCTGCACCCTTTCACCACAAAGGTCCACAGGAAAAGCTCTAAAGACAGGGGATTGGGCAGGATCAACTCTGAAAAGGAAAATGGCTACACCAGCTATGGGTATCTGCAGTGCGCTATGGGCAACACCATCACCTCCAACCCAATATTTCACAAATTCTGAAACTGATATTGGAACAAAAGGTAGAATGTTTGATGGTAGTAGTTGTGAAATTCTGCCCCTTAATCCAGAAACAGTTGTTGATCTTGTGCATCTGCACCCTCCTTTCAGTCTGTCTACACCATGTGACTCCATCTCGTTGCTGGTGCTGCATTCCATCCCCCACCACTTTATCTAGATACAGCCACCTCTGTTAAAGTTAACAAGACCCCGATTGCTGAACAAGTCACTCAAGATCTCTCGAACATTTGGTTCCCTAGATGGGACAGTGCTGCTCAGAAAAGTTTACCTTTTTTTATTATTATAGTATCCTCTGCATTCAATCATGAAGTAAACACTGATAGCACTCTCCTTTGCACAGTAGACTGTGGCTGGATTAAATGATATTAAATGATATGAGATCATTTGGAACCTCATCAGATTTTGTTTTCATTCCCTCTGATCTTCTTGAGAACCCATACTGATATTTACTTGTGCTGTTTGTAAAATGCTCCTGCACATGAAAGTGTGGCTTAAACAATTTTTAATACTCTGCTAATGGTTTCCTTAGTGTGTCTGCTTAAATAATGTAACTACCATATACCAAGTAATGCTAAAGGATGACAAGTTTGATTTGCTAATAATATTCCTGCCCCTTTTTCCGTTTTAATGAATCCAACACCAGCGGTGCACAAGGCCCTTTCATTTACGGTGCCTCTAAAAGTGATTGATTTCATCTTGGGCACCTGGAGCTTACTTTGGCATTTTAATGAAACACGCCTCTTTGATTCATTTTGATTTTGTCGACTTCCTTTCTCAGTATAGGATTTGGAAAGATGGACTGTCTGGCATCATCTGTTATTTCTATGTTTTCATCACCATAAGTCCTGTGTTACTTCCTCCTAGAACCATTTTTTGCCCCCCCCCAAGTATGCAAACTATGAGTATTCACCTTGGTTTATGCTACACATGGCAATAACCCTGAACTTTAACGTAAAAATATTCTTTGTGTGTGTCTGTATACACTCTGAATCGATGAGGCCATATGAATGTATAGTTCATGGTTTTCCTGTGTTGAAACCAAGCCCACCGTAATGCCACTGCTGTCCAGTTTACTGAAGGGATGATACTGGCATTGTCCTCTGCTTCACAGGGTCCTTAAGTGCTTTGCAAACATCTACTGTACCCGTTTACTACACCGTCAAACAAGGAGGACAGGTGGCATGATTCTGTACACATGGCCTTAGGTAGTACTACTAAACAGTGAGGCAGGACAGCAGGGTCTCAGTTATGCTCCCAATAATTATTTGCATTTATATTTTTGAATGTTAGAATACTGAGCCCTGACCAGTCTCCCTCCACAGTTTCTTTGCACACAACTTGAAGAGATGATGGCAAATGTCTGCCTTTATAAGTTTCCCTCATTTGACATTGGTGTGTATTGAAATGGTCTTTACGTTATAATTTCTGAGTATTTATACAGAAAACGGACTCTGCTGATTTTGGAAAGTGGGGATTGTAGACACGTGGCCTCTTACTGCTGATACTGGAGGCACTTGTCAAATATACTTGAGTAACCCAAAGCACTTTGAAATTTTTGAAAACCGTCACAAAGCCTTTGTTGAATTGCTGAATGCTGTCATGGCAAGTTGTGTATTATAAAGAACATTAAATAAATGATTGCATTTATTTTGTCTGTTGCCAATTTTAATCAGGTTTCAAAGTTTGTTCTAAAATCCTCATATACAAAAACAATGTAATGCAGCATGAGGACGAAACTAAATTCCTAAGGGTTTCGGGGAGCCTGGTGACTGTCCCCTAAAGGACAGGACTTCCTGGATGGGGGGCCAGGCCATTGTATGGCTCACACTCATACAAATGGAAACAGGAGGGGAGCATGAAAACTCCACAAACTGTGCTTGAGACTGGATTCAAAAGTCTATTTTTTTTCTCCTGGTCACCTATGGGAAGTCTGTTCCTGGAAGCAAAGTGGTACAGCATGGACAATCATACACTAAATGCAATCTCTAAATCACCTATAATCTAACAGTATGCTTGGATTGTAAGAGGAAACCCATACCGTACGGGGGACAACTTACAAATTCCACAATTAAGTAAAGATCCAAATCCCCAGCAGTGTCGAGTACTTTTCCATCATACTGCCCCTTACAGTTGTTAACAAAATACATGTGTAGATTACAGCCACTCAAATACATAATCAGGGTCGCCAACGCTCACGCTTCTGACCTGATACGCTTTCTTGCTCACACAAACGCAAGAAATATTACGGGAAATCTATATTATTCCAGTATAAACCTAAAATTATCTGCATCGAAAGCGTTGGGCTAGTTTGCAAACTATACAGACTTTTCACAATGTAATATAATTGTCACATACATGTAAATGACTGTGCAGACTTGTCTCGAATTGAAAATCACATGCCAGCCCGCTGACCAAAGTTGACAACACTGCATGATTTTAGTGCAACGTTATAAGGATAAAATTTACTATTGAATACGGTAATTTTACTAAGCTAACGGAATTTAAAACTTAAGCCTCATCTTAAAGGGTAATGTCTGTTCATACTCCCTGACGACCTAGGCATACAAAGGGTTAAAGTTACGGGCTTTTGGCCAAGGCTGGGAGGAACTGCGTCACGAGACGCTTTTTCGCCTAAACATGGCGTCCTACCGGCGGTTTCGCCTGCTGCTGCCTGTTGCCACCTTTATATCGAGGCGGTAAGTACATGCCGACTGGTTGCGTGCGTTTAAGTGAAGCTCAGTATCTGAGCGTTTATGGAGATGCAAGAGAAGGATATCTGTTCATACACATATGGAGCAGCTCGGGGTGTTCATTGGCGCGGCGCTCTGACGTATATAACATGACCATGGGGGGGTAGCAGGCTGCGCACGGCCCATACCTGCACGGAATGCCCGATCCTTTATCAATAACGGGGGTCCGCAGACAATCACGCCTGATTTATGGTTCTTCATAGGCTCTACGCAGAGCTTACGCCGTGGCCTGCGAAAGTGTGTGTGTGTGTGTGTGTCTCTCTCTCTCTCTGTCCCTTCTGCAATTTCACCGCCAAAACGCTAGTTGGTAGTGTGGTTTTTATGCCGTTCAAAGAAGAAGAAGGGTCTCACTGTTGTGTTTCTTCGTGTTGTAGAATAACAGTAACATTTACCGAAATTAACGCAGAATAACGCAGAAAAGAGGGAAGATGTCGGGGAGATGGCGTGTATGACCACTGAACCGACTGAATCAGTGCACAACACAGGCTTTGCGTTTTTAAAGTTGCTTTGGTGTGTTATTTTCGACACTTTTACCACCTACGTAAACTCTTCGAACTTATCGAGAAGGGTCTAGCTGCAGACGCCTGTAGAGTGGAGCTCCACCGGAAATACGT